CCCTTTGTATTTGTTTTCTCTAGAAAGGTAGATGGATAGATGTAGGTATATGTTTATATATATGTACATGCATATATACACATGTATATACACATATTAATATATATGAACAATAATCTCTCTCTCCCCATATATATAGTTAGAAATGAGTATATACATACTTTTCTGAACTATTTGAGAATAAGTTGCATTTATTGTGAAACTTTATCCCAAACACTTCAACATGTATCTCCTAAGAATAAGGATATTCTTCTGTATTAACTCATTATCATTATCAAACCCAAGGCATAACATTGGCAAAGTACTATTGTCTAATGTGTAGTCCATATTCAAATTTTCCCCAATTGTCTTAGTAATGGCCTTTACAATGGGCTCAGGCAAGGCCAATATCTCTTTAGTCTCTTTCAATTGATACTGTCCCCTAGACTTCTTCTGTCTTTCATGACACTGACATTTCTTTTTTTTTTTTTTTTTTTTTTTGAGTCAGAGTCTCACTTTGTTGCCCAGGCTAGAGTGAGTGCCGTGGTGTCAGCCTAGCTCACAGCAACCTCAAACTCCTGGCTCAAGCAATCCTCCTGCCTCAGCCTCCCAAGTAGCTGGGACTACAGGCATGTGCCACCATGCCCGGCTAATTTTTTGTATATATATTTTTAGTTGGTCAATTAATTTATTTCTATTTTTAGTAGAGACAGGGTCTCGCTCAGGCTGGTTTCGAACTCCTGACCTTGAGCAATCCGCCCGCCTTGGCCTCCCAAAGTGCTAGGATTACAAGCGTGAGCCACCACGCCCGGCCGACACTGACATTTCTGAAGAGTCCAGAACAGTCATTTTGCAGTATCTCCCAATTTGAATCTGCCTGATGTTTCCTCATTCAAGTGAAGCCACATGTGAGAAGTTTACAGTGCTGCCATGAAAACATGTAGAAGTGGAATCTGGCCCTCTGAGGAGAGCAGGGGGAGGTAGGATTCTCTAAAGAACTCTTGGCTGAGCTCATTTCTGAACAATGAGTAGGAATTAACTAAGCATTCTGGTCTGTTGAAAGCAGGACTATTCCAGGCCCAGGTGGGGAGAAAGAGCATGGTGGCTGAAGAAAGTAACAAGCTGGGGAAGATGATGCCTTCAGTTCTGGACGCTGTGGGACCGAGTGCTCCCCCTGAGGAATCTAAGTGAAAAGCCATGTGGGCAGGTGGAGGCCTGAGGCAGAGGCCTGGGCTGGAGATAACCATCTGTGAGTTAATGATTTGTCTGGCATTTGCTATGAATGAGATCACTGCACAGAGTGGAGAACAAAAAGAGGCCTGGTGTAAGCCTTGAAGAATACACCATGCAATGGCTGGGTGGGAGAAGGTGGAGGAATAGCCAGAGAGATGGGAGGAAACCTGCAGAGTGTGTGTCAAGAAAGGCAAAGGAAGAAGAGTTTCATGAAATGAGAAGTGTGAAAGAAAAAATTATTTTGACACTTGTTAAACAATAAGGAAAACTTTATTCAGAATCATTGTCCCTGTGTCACCTCCCACTGCCCTACCAATGCGTACTGGGATCATATCCAAACTCCTTGTCTCAGGGTCTGTTTCTGCGGGAGCCCAAGCTAAGACAGTGCATCATGAACCAACGATTATGATTCAAGCACATATGGCACATTAACAAAAACTGAACATATGCCAAGCCATAAAGTCTCAACAAATTTCAAGATTAAATCATATAAAATGTTCCCAAACCAATTGCAATTAGGCAAGATAACTAGAAAAATCTCCTTATGTTTAGAAATGAAGAAATATGATTCTAACTTCTAAATAATCTGAGATCACGGGAGAAATCAAAATAGAAAGCCATGCTTTGTGGGAAATTTAATTGCATATATTAGAAAAGAAGAAAGGCTGAACACCAGTGAGCTAAACATTCATTTCGAAAAGGTAGAAAACAGAAAATCAAATCCAAACAAGGAAGGAAATAACTAATTGAATTAAAAACAAATAAGCTGGGTATGGTGGTAGCACACACCTATAGTCCCAGCTACTTGGGAGGCTGAGAACAAGAAGGTCACTTGAACCCAGAAGTTTAAGGCTACAGTGAGCTATGATTGCACCACTGCACTATAGCCTGGGTGACAGAGCAAGGCCCTATCTCAAAAAAAAAAAAAAAAGTCTTGCTCTCAAAAACAAGTATGTAAAAAAATTAATAAAACTGATAACCCCCTGTCAAAATTGATCCAGAAAAAAAAAGGAAGAGTGTACAAATAACCAATGTGAAAAATAAAAACAGGGGGCTACCACTATAAATTCTATAGACTGCAAGAATATGAGGATATTAACAAATGGATGGCAATTGGAAAATGTAGATAATTTTTGTCTTGGTCCATTTTCTGTTGATACAACAGAATACCATAGACTGAGCCAGGCACAGTGCCACATTGCCTATAGTCCCAGCTACTCAGGAGACTGAGGCAGGAGGATCACTTGAGGACAGGAGTTTGAGGCTATGGTTCACTATGATCACTCATGTGAATAGCAAAAATGGAATAGCATAGATTGGGTAATTTATATAAAAAAGAAATTTATTTCTTATAGTTCTAGAGGTTGGGAAGTCCAAGAGCATGGCAACTGCATCTGATGCAAGCTTTCATGCTGCCTCATAGCATGGCAGATAGCATCACATAGCAAGAGGGCACGAGTGTGCCAGCTCAGGTCTCAATTCCTCTTCTTACAAAGCTACCAGTTTCATCATAGGGGCCCCAACCTGATAACCTTGTCTAATCCTAGTTACCTCTCAAAAGCCCCACCTCCAAATACCATCAACATATGAATTCAACATATGAATTCATTCAAACATATGAATTTGAGTCCAAGAGCATGCAGTTTCCATGCTCTTGGACTTCCCAGCCTCTAGAACTATAAGAAATACATTTTTTATATAAATTACCCAATCTATGCTATCCCATTTTTGCTATTCACATGAGTGATACATGAAACTTAGGGGGATACATTTAAATTGTAGCAATGTGAGAAATTCCTAAAAACATACAACTTAACCAAAACAGACACAAGAAGAAAGAGAAACTATGAAGTTTTTGCAGTAGATTAAATATGGGCACAAATGTTTTGCAGCCAGGTGTTATAAAAAAGTGAAGTCTCCCCACTCTTTTAATTGTGGCTGGACTCATAACTGCTTTTACTAAAGAATGTGGTAAAAGTGCTGTCTTTTTCTAAAATTTTTTTTTTTTGAGTCAGGATCTCACTCTGTGGTCCAGGATAGAGTGCAGTGGCATCATCATAGGTCACGGCAACCTCAAATTTCTGGGTGTAAGTGATCCTCCTGCCTCAGCCACCTGAGTAGCTGAGACTACAGGTACATACCACCATGCCCAACTAATTTTTTTATTTTTTGTAGAGATGAAATCTCATTATGTTGCCCAGGGTGGTCTTGAACTATTGGCCTCAAGCGATCCATCCATCTTGGCCTCTCAAAGTGCTAGGATTACAGGTGTGAGCCACAGCGTCCAGCCAAAGTGATATCTTTGCAGTTTCCATTTTCACTGAGGCCCTACATAATGGCCATTTCCCTAAGGCCACTACATAAGGAAACTGGTCTAGCCTATTGGAAGAGAGGCCACATAGAGATGTTCTAAAATGTAATGTGAAAAAGCTGGGTGCCTATAGTCCCAGCTACTTGAGTCTGAGCCTGCAGGATTGCATGGGCCCAGGAGTTTGAGTCCAGCCTGGGCAATGTAGTGAGATCTCATCTGTTAAAATAAAAGTAAAATGTAGTCTGGATCTCCATTTGGTCTGTTCTAATTGTTTCTTTCAGTTGTATGAAGCAGAACCCCACTCAAGCTTACTCAAGCAAGTGGGCTGGGCTGAAATCATGCACAGAAATCTGAGGGCTCAATCCACAGCCCAAGGAAAGTAGAGCTGCAAACAGAAAGCCACCAAGGCTCAGGCAGCCCTTTCAGGGACCACAGGAATGGATCACAAATCTTCTCTGCACTACCTGGGTTTCCCCCTGTCTTGGCCACATGGGGTCTGGTGGCTCCCGCAACCCTGACTTTACAAAGACTTCCACCCTGAGTACTAAGCCAATGGACAACTTCCTTTGTCTTGGAGATTAATCTCCAGGAGAGACTCCCATGGGGCAGGCTCATTTTCTAAGCCAGAGCACAAGCCTTAGAATTCAAACAGCAAGTTATTCCAATTACAGAGGTTTGGCGTCACCTCCAGAGAGAAGGGACTTGTCTGAATGGTGAATCTGGGTGCAGGCCAAGAGCATGCTCAGCTCAGCACTCTGGGGTCTCTCTCTAGCATACTTGCCTGCCTGCTCTCTACTCAGGGCTCTCTTCTGATGGCAGAGAGTACACTCTGCCCACATAGGGCAGGCCAGAAGTGCCTGACAATTGATGCCCAGAATAGTCCTCGATGACAGATGAGGAGTTGGTGGATAAATATAGTTCCCTTGCCCCTTGATAGGGTATTGAGGCATGTACTATACAGGCTCCCAGAGGTCCCCAGTGGGATTGGGCCCTAATGCACCTTTTATTGGTTGCCTTCCTCTCTGTCTCCCTTCTCCACTCCCCTACCAGTGTTTCTGGAATCAAATTCCAAATATACTATCTGCACTCAAATTCTCAGGGTTGGCTTCTGGAGGACTGTAAACCAATAGAAATCCAGTGCTAGACTTCTAAGCCACAGCCTTCCACGCACTTGTTTTCATCTCCATTGCCTAATGCTTCCATCTATTGCTCAACTGGTTCTGAATTCAGCGGGGAAAGAGGGATGTTATTTATTGTCTCCCAAGCCTACAGAAAATGCAATAAAGATCTGGAAAATGCTACAGTGGAAAAAAGAAAAGGTCTGTCTGCCATGGACATGCAGCAGGAGACAAGAATGACTATTTGGTGGAGTTAACAAGGGAAGAAGGGTTGTCCCAACCCTGGTGAACAGACAACCAGGGATTCTGCCCAGCCAGCTCTCCAGGGCCCTCTCAGGTGCTGATGGCAGGAGTCAAAGCCCAGTGTACACAGTCTTTATTTATTGAGAGTCCTGACATCCAGGAAAGTGAGGCCCACAGCCAGGGCCCTCAGAACTCCATTTGGCCGCTCTGCGGGGCTAGGGTGTCAAGTAACCAGTCATTCATGTCCAGTTTTCCTGCAGCCGAAGGAGTCCTCAGGAGGCAGGAAGCGGCTGTGCCTGTGGAGAAAACACATCAACACGACTAGCACCTCTTCTGTGCCCAGCCCGGGACCGCGGATGGGGAGATCATGCAGACCCAGCAGAGGCCGGCCTAGCAAAGCCCACGGTCTGGAGGGAGAGGGTGTCAGGCAGCGACTTGGCCATGTGCTTGTGAACTAGTCAGCTGTGCTGAACTGTTACTGGCAGCAGGGAGGCCCATTCTGCTGAGTTTACTGGGCACCTGCTATGTGCCCAGCAGGCAAAAATCTCACTCTGGGGAGTTTGCCATCAAGTAGCGAGAAACAGACAACAAATGAACAAAATATGTCAACTCATGAGAAATTCAATGAAGAAAACTAAATGAGGGTAAAGAGTAGAGGCATGTTGGAGCGGAGGGACATGCAGCACTTTAAACCATCAGCTACAAGAACACTGGACGTTCCAGCAAGATGTTATATCATGTTGTGTGAGATGGGCTTGTCTGTGTGTCTGCTACTGTGTAGACTAGACGACAGAGGAGGTTCGAAGCTAAGCTGCCCCCAAGCTAAGAAGGAAAAGCTGTAACTGGGATGCCACCACCAGGAAAGAGGAGGACAGTGGGGAGGAGCAGGGTGTTAGTTCCTCTGGGTGTACTGGATAGACATGAGTAGGGTTTAAAGGGAAGAGCTGTGACCTAATTTCCATTTTTAAAAGCTCCTTTGGCTGGCGGGGACTGTCAGGGGAGGGGTGGGATGGCCACAGGGAGACAAGGGAGAGGCTGTTTGTTTGTTCAGGGAAGGAAGGAGCAAATGGCCCTAAGATGGGAGGATAGGTCTTAACTGCTCAGATGCCCAAAAAACTTGAAAGAAAGGAATGCCCCCAACCAATGACTATAAAACTTAGTGTGGACAGTATGTGATCACTACGGAATGTTTCCTGAGGAGAATTAAATTCCTTCTGGCTGGTTTCTACTCTTGGGGTCTCAACCTTTCACATATCCCTGCCTTATAAAAAGGACCAACAACTGTAGGGTCTGGTTAGAAGAGCAACTCCCAAATCTTTAGCCAAACACTCCCCAAAGCAGGCGACGGGAGGGAAGCAGTTACAAAGCAGTAGGATATGAGTCGTGATGGAGGGGCTCGGAGACCTACAGAGCCCAAAGATGGGGATGGGGCATCAGAGAGGTTTTCTGAGGGAGGAGGATGTCATCTATGCTGGAATAGGAATTAGCCAGGAGATGGATTAGGAAGGGCAGTCCAGGCAGAGGAAACTGGACAAAAGCAGCAGAGGCAGTCACTTGAGTAACTGCATGTTCACTGGGGCTAGAATGTGGAGCTTGAGGTGGAAAGTGGGGAGAGGTGGGGCCAGAGGTCACAGGGGCTGCAGGCTGTGCTGGGCTTGATTGAGTCTTGGCCTGGTGGAAGTGAGCACCGTGGAAAAGTTTCTAAGTAGAAGCAGAACATGGTCAGATTTCCTCTGAGATCACTCTGGGACCATCATAGAGAACAGAATGAAAGGTAGGATTGGAGCATGGAAGCCCAGGAGAAGGTTGGTCTAATGGTATAAGAGAGAAGCTGGGGCTGCAGGGACAAAGAGGGCCACAGAAAAGGTGCTCAAAGGGGCTGGGGACAGATGTGACTTTTGCCATCGGAGCTCATGATCCAGTGGGGGAGGCAGTAAACATCTGAAAGAGTGGTTTTCAACCTTTTATTCATTATTGACCCCCAAGGAGTCTTTTCAGACTTTTGTTCTAATTGCTCCATCCATGGAATTTTAATATCACAGATATACTATATATCTGTTTACATACTGTACATATTAAAAATATTAAATATTAAAAAACATTTTTAATCCCACCACAACCCCTCTCCCAGTGCAGCTGGGAGGAAGGGAGAGAGAGGGTAAGGGAGGAGGTAGAGGAGGTCAGCCTGGGGAAGAACACAGAAAACCCAGCAAGGACCTAGGACTTTGTTCTCAATGTCAATGGGAAGCCACTGGAGAGCTTTAAGGCATAATGTGACTAGACTTCAGTTCTTAAATGCTCACTCAGCCTACTGCACAGAGGTAAGAGAAGAAGGATTCGGGGAGACCAGGGAGAAGGCTGGGGAAGACATCCTGGAGGTGGAGGCAGGTGGCTGGACTAAAGCAGGGGCTGTAAAACGACAAAAGGTGATCATGTTCTGCATTCTGGATGCATAGCGAAGGCCTGTGTGGTAGTGCGGTGGGGCCAAGGATGACTCCAAGGTCTTTACCTGAACAACCAGAGGATGAGGGGAATGTTATGGGGGAAAAAGTTGAACTGGTGAGCTCCCCTTACCTCCATAGTCGTGGGTGAGCGCGGTGGCTGCACCTGTTCAGCGCACTGCAGGAAGCGGCGCACATGCTCTGCACAGTTGCCTACGGCTGCCTCGTTCTGTCGAAGACACTCCTCAAAGGACTCGAAAGGCTCAGCACAGGCCTGGCGGATCTGGCGGATGATTGGGCTGTGGGGATAGGGCAGTTCAGACCCTGGGAGACTCCCAGTCCACTGCCAACCCCCACACTGCCACATATTTGCCCACACTCACTGGGAGGATGTGCATCTAGCAATGCTCATCTTAAGGTGGTGACAGTCGCGCTGCCATGACTCAGGCTTGGCCGCCACACACTGGCCATACTGTTCCAGTTCCCGGCCGCAGTAGCGAGCAGTGACCTCCAGAGCTGCCTGCCTGTGAGACAGGGTTGGCTGAGGATAATTCCAGGCAGCATGCAACAAAAGGAGTTTTCATCTGGGCCTGAGGTAGGACTAGGTGTCCTGGGCAGATCTGGGAGTCTGAGGGATCCTGAGATGGGGCCAAGGAGGTATAGAGGTGAGGCCTGGCCCTGGGGTTTGTGAAACTGGGTGGGAGCTTCTGGGGAAGGTAGTAGAGGTCTTAAAACAAGGTCTGATTATTCCAAGGTAGGACTTGGGGGTCCTAGAAGAAATGTCTTAGAATCCAGGTATCCTCCAGTAGGCCTGGGATTATGTGCAGGTATGGCCTTGGAAATAAGATCTAGAGTTCTACGGAAACAGCATGGGTGCCCTAAATGAGTTTGGAGGTCTTAAAAGTGAGGTTTATAATTCCAGGACCTAGGGTGGGGGGGTTCTCAGGACCTGGGGTAGGGTCTCTTGGCCAAAGTCTTAAGAGATCAAATCTGAGGGGGTGGGGTAGATTTGAGGGTTCTGGGACTCAGGGTCCTAGGGACATGATCTGGAAGCCCTGGTGAGGTGGAGGCTCTGAAGCAAATCTAGAGAGTCCCACAGTTAAGCTCTTGGGGTTTCAGGAGGACAAGGTCTGGGGTCTTGGGCAGATCTAGAAGGTCCACAAGGTAAGATCTGGTGATTGAAGGGGGGGAGCTTGGGGCTTTAATGAGGGGTATAGGAGACCTAGAGGTCCTTAGACAAGTCTGGAGTCCTAGGGTTGCCATGTGAAGGAATGGAACTGGGGCCCTGGGGACGGAGCATGGGTGAAGAGAGACTGGACCTGGGAGTCCTAAGTGAGCACGACGAAGGGGCGGGGCCTAAACGCTCAGAGGGCGGGGCCTGGGCATGCGGTGGAATGGGGCTTGTGAGGGAAGACAATGAATCGGGAAGGTCGGAATGGACCAGAGTGGCAGGTCCTGATCCCCGAGGTCCTAGGCTAGGTCCAGGTCATTGGGGAAGAAAAGGGAGCAGTGGCACATACGCGGTAGACGTCCCCGCTACTCACATCTCGAGACCGGTGCCGATGTGGGGTCAGGCAGGCAGGTGAGACCCGCCTTTTCCGGTATGAGGTTGTCGTGGCGGCGGCCAGCCCCGCCCTCCCTGCCTGGCTTCTTCCGGTCGCAGAGTGGACGGGCAGCCCCATTCGTTTTGGGCCCAACGCGTCATGGCGGCGCCCTGCCTCTCCTTCCGGCCCGGCCCGTCATGGCGGCGCCCTGCGGAGCCACTTCTGCCCTCCGCGGCCTAGCTGCTTTATCCTTTCCTACTTCTGGCTTGCCGTGGCTGCGCCTGCTGGTCAACGGAAGTAAGCAATCGAAAGGAGCGCAGTGCCTGGGCCCTAAAGGGAGGGCGGCGCTGAACTTTGCGGCGCCTCACCGGGCTGAGCCACAGCAACGAGCGCCCTAAGTCTCCCGACTGGAACTGAGGGCGAGTGCTCCCCACATGCCGTTTGCGGCTTGGTTGGGTGCTGTGGCTGCCGACTGCTGGCTGCCGGGCTCAGAAACCGGGGGCAGATCCCTAACATCACGCTGCCACCATCGGCCTTGTGCAAACGCTCTTCGTCCTCCCGGGACACTGTTTCCTGCAAGCGCGCGGAGCCAGGGTGCAGGGAGGAGGTCACCCCAAGAGCCGGACCACCCCTGTAGGGCCTCCCCTCTGCCCAGGGTGGGTTATCCAAAACGTGCCCCTTGCCCTTTGGCAAAGGGTCTAAAGCCAGGACATAGATGGGCTTTAATCCTTTATGCGACCGTTGGCAAGTTGTTTCTCTTTGTACTTGCTCCTGGTGTGGTCATCTAGATTCCTCCTAGTGTAGCAACGTTTCCAGCTTTCATCTGTCTTTAAAATGTGAGGTTAGACATGGGCGTGAGTTTCCGCATTTATGAGGCTGGATATCCCTTGGTCAGAACACTGAGCATCAGTCCTGCTGTCTGGTATGCAGATCTTTCAAGACTGCCAAAGTGAGCAGAAAATGCAGTTAATCATAGTGTTTACGAAGAACAAGAGCTATTAGACTGTGAGCAAGTGATAACAACACGTGGTCTCAGTATGCCCATCTGTAAAATGGGAATGCTGACGGTGAAATCCTTAACATAGGACATAATGCCAGTGAACGGTTTAACACAGATACCGGAGTAGTAGGAGTTCAGGATAAGGGAGAGTTGTTAAATGAGGCTGTAACCATAAGCTGCCCTGGTTGGCAGATGACATCTGATGTCTGCACCACTGGCCATCTGAAAGTGCCTCAGTTGACACAAGTAGGTTTGAAGCCATGGGCACTGAAAGGAAGCTATAAACCTTGAGATCTGTCCATTTTTCTTACTTGAAAAACTTTCAAGTGTATGTTTGATGGTTGAAGAGGGGAAGGGAACAGCATCAAGGGCTGTGGGAAGAGACACAGGACTGATCTCTTTGGCTTGATTGTGGACTGAATCCCTAGATTTTCCTCTCCTGGGAGAATGAAATCTTAACTCATCCTATGTCGTTGTTGGTGCTCAAAAGTGATACCCTAAGACTGTCACTTTTGTATGCTCAGAGGCCTTAGAAGCCACCTCAGAATCAAGATCCCTCTAACTTAGTCTTGTTAACTCCCCATTCCCAAGCACAGGGAGGGACTCTTTCTGGAATTTCCTTATCTGACCAAGAAAGCTTCTTTCCAAAGAAATGCACTTGTTTTAAACCCCTCCCTAGGGATATCCTCATGGAACCAGGAAAGATCAACCACCTGAGAAGAGACTGAGAGTCTTCACCACACACAGGTGGACTTTCTTCTGTTCTGGGGGGAAGCTCCAAAAGTTAAAGTCCTCAGGGACTTTATCTGCACAATAAGACAAACTTTGTTCTCATGCAGCTGCACCTCTCACCTTCCCAAGTCTGCCTCCCACCTCCCAGGTCCATTCATTCTCCCTAAAGATTTACTGCCCCCAAAAGAATTGTCAACATTTCTCATCTCCCCTCATCTCATGAAAAAGGGCATATAAGTTTACTGGGTTATTAAGTAATTCTCCCATGATTCCCCCATGCAAGTTAAAATCTGCATGCATTGTCTATGAATCTGCTTATTTTTTTTTTTCCTTTCGAGACAGGGTCTTGCTCTGTCACCCAGGCTGGAGTGCAGTGGCATGATGATGAAAGCTCACTGCAACCTCAAACTCCTGGGCTCAAGCAAGCGATTCTTTTGCCTCAGCCTCCCGAGTAGCTGGGACTAGAGCCATGCACCACTATGCTTGGCTAGCTAATTTTTGTGTTGTTTGTAGAGATGGGGTCTTGCTCTTGCTCAGGCTGGTCTTCAACTCCTGATCTTGTAAGCCTTCCATCTTGGCCTCCCAAAGTGTCCAATTAATCTTTATCAACTGTGTAAATAGTTAAGTGCTTTGAGTGGAGTGGAATGTACCATACTTTTTCCAGTAGAAAAGAGACATTTTGCATTTAATGGATTTTCACTTAGTATCAGAGTTTTCAGGAATAAGATAGAGCCATCATGTGGGGGTCAGGTGCATGTGAATAAGACAAGTTCTGATCCCAAGTACTGAGGCTCTGGTAGTAGCAGGGGAGAGAGCCATACAGAAAACAGCTACATAAATGAAAGGTGATAGAACAGCTTCAGCAGTTGATGAACTGTATAAAAGTCAGGCGATGGCACATGGCATCTGGAGGTGTGAGTCTGTATGTGTGGATCAGGGAAGGTCTCAGGGTCAAGCTCCAGATACATCTTGAGTGGGGAGGAGATGCCACCTGACCACGTGAACAGCAGAGACCAAGGGTATCCTGGAGGGAAGGTCAGGGACCTAGAGATTTCAGATAAGCCATTGTTTGTGGAGAATTTTTTTTTTTTGTTTACCTCTTTAGTAGTACAAAAGCCAACCAGTCCTGTAATAATCAGATCTTTCTAACTTATTTCCTTAAGGATGAGATTTTCATAGTATCATCAAATGCCTTGGCCTGGCCACACGATGACAAAATGTTCCTCACTCAGAAGCTGGAAGGCCAGGTGTGAACCTTGTAGCTATTGTGCATGCTCCCTACAGCCTCCGCCTGCCACTGAAGCTCCTATCCATGGGGTGCTCCCTGCCTCTGGTGGCATCAACCTGAGACAGGGCAGCACTGGACACTGGGTGTCATGGAGTTTGAGATTGCAATGAGCTGTGATGACTCCACTGCACTCTAGCTGGGGTGACAGAGCAAGACCCTGTCTTGAAAGGGAAAAAAAAAGGCAGATTCATAGACAAGGCATGCAGATTTTAACTTGCATGGGAGAATTACTCAATAACCCAGTAAACTCATATGACCTTTTTATATGCCCTCTGTCTTTTTTAAAAAAAGGCAACTATTGATATAGGCAACTTGAATAGATTTCAAGGGAATTACGTTAAGTGAAAAAGGCCAATCTCAAAATGTTATGATTCTATTCACATAATATTCTTGAAATAAAATTATAGAGATAGAGAACAGATTAGTGGTTGCCAGGGGTTAGAAATGGGGGACAGGGTTGAGGATGGCTATAAAGGGAAACCATAGTATCTACTTGAGGCAATGGAACTGTTCTTGATTATGTCGTTTACATCAGTCTACACAGGTGATAAAATTAAATAGAACTATGCACACAACACAAATGAGTACATGTAAAACTGGTGAAATCTTTAAGTTCTGTGGATTGTCCTAATGTCAATTTCTTAGTTGTAATTATACAATTTAAAATGAAAAGTTAAAAACAAATTTCTAACAAGTTTTAGTGCTGGTAAAAAAATAGACTTGAACAATAGACCTCACCTATGGGTCAGAGACTGAAATAGGGTAAGAAAGTCTATAGTTGGGATTCTATTTACATAGGGGGGAGTTACCAGACAATAGATTCAAGGTGTTTTTCCTTACAGTTTCAAGAAGCAAAGCCAGGATATATCTTGAATGAATAGATTTTTCTGTCTATTCCTATTTGCCTTATAATTAGAGGTAGACCACCTAAAGCCAAACTCAGGAAAAAATTATCTTAGGAAAGCTTTTATTATCAAAAAGCCTCTCATATAAGTGTATATAAGATTATTTACTGCCAACACTATTTATAATGGTCAAAGAATGGAACAACTCAAATATCCATCAACAGGGGGCAGTATGCAAAAAAGAATAAGCAGCACTCTACAAACTAACATGAGAGCAGCTCAATATAAATAATGCAAAAAAAGCTAAGTACAGACCCAATAGAAGACCCACTGGATTTGAGATTATAAAGAAAGATAAGTTATATTTAAAATTTTTCATATTCATTACATGTTGAAATGACATTTTTGCTTTATTACTTTAAAATAAATATATTATTAAAATTATTTCTAAGATATGCAAACAACCTTGATGTCCATTGATGGATGTGGTATATACATCCAATGGAATATTAGCCTTAGAAAGGAGGAAACTTTCCCATATGCTACAACATGGATGAATCTTGAAGACATTATGCTAAGTAAAATAAGCCAGTCAGAGAAGGAAAAATATTACATGATCCCACTACAAGTTATATAATATTAGTCAAACACATAGAAATAGAGAGTAGAATGGTGATTGCTAGGGGCCAGGAAGAAGGGAAATAGAGTTTTTGTTCAACAGGTATAAAGTTTTAATGATGTAAGATGAAGTTCTAGAGATGTGCTGTACAACATGGTGGTTATAGTTGAAAATATTGTATTGTACACTTAAAAATTTGTTAAGTAGATCTCAAGTGTTCTCACCACGCACACCCCAAAAAACAAAAACAAAGGGGTAGGACATTTTTAAAGATGATGAATATGTTTATTACCTTGATGTGGTGATATCACAGTTGTGTCCATATGTTCTAACCCATCAAATTAAATATGTATAGTTTTTTTATAACAATTACATTTAAATAAAGCTGTTAAAAAATATTTGTTTTTTTAAAGATCAGAATTGACCTGAAATCTACCTTATTTTTTTACTTTAACATGGCTATAAGAAAATACAAAATGATATACATGGCTTAAATTATATTTGTATTTTACTGCCCTGTTGTGGATAGACTACCAGGTGTGTGATAGTCACTGCCTGTTGAAAGGAGGGTATAGGGACCCTCTGGGTGGAAGGGACCCTCTACCTTTCTATGTATGAATATTTCATAGGGAAGCAGGGTATAGGGACCCTCTACCTTTCTATGTACGAATATTTCACTTTTTAAGAAGATACATGTGAAATTTTTAAACAAATATATCAAAAAACAGTATTAGTAGTTAGTATACGAGAGATACTCAGAACCTTGAATTCTTGGTTGCCAAGTCTTTTTTTGAGATAGAGCCCCAGCTAGAGTGCAGTGGCCTCATCATAGCTCACTGCAACCTCAAACTACTGGGCTCAAGTGATCCTCCCACCTCAGCCTTCTGAGTAGCTGGGACTACAGGTGTGCACCACCAAGCCTGGCTAATTTTTCTATTTTTGTTTGCGGAGATGGGGGTCTTGCTCTTTCTGAGGCTGGTCTCAAACTTCTGGCCTCAACCAATCCTCCCAACTTGGCCTTCTAAACCGATAGGATTATGGGCATCAGTCACCATGCCCATCCCCAAGTCTTGGTTGAGAATTCCAACACCCTTGAAAGAACACAAGAGTAATGTAGTGGTAACATTTTTTAATCTGATCGATCTCCTAATTCAAAAGGCCAGCACCAAGTTAAATGACATCCAGTTTCACTTTGATGTTCATAGCTGCCAGTTCAGCTACAAAATACCGGAAAACATAAGGCACAGAAACAGTATCAACAGTGTCACTGCGATTACACAAAGTACAGTTGTATTTTCTGTTACGCATGGCAGACCAAGATGGGGGTGGCTTCTCCAACAGTGGAGAGAGTAAGCTGCCACACTTCACACACACATGGGCTACCGATCGGTCAGAGCAGTTGAAGAGGCGGTCATGAAGGAGGAAAGATGTACCGTGAGCTAAAAGAGCATCTCGCTCCATCTCCCCAAAACGGATTCCACCCTGAACATTTCTTCCTCCAATAGGCTGGTTGGTGACTTTGTCTCTCGCTCCAGTTGTCCTAACTTGAAATTTGTCTGAGACCATGTGGCGTAGACGTTGATAATATACGACGCCTATGAAGATGTCTGCTTCCAGCTCTAGCCCACTGATGCCACTATACATCCTCTCAGTGCCATAGAAGTTGTAGCCAGCAGCCTTTAACATCTCACCAAAGTATTCTAAGGCTGAGTTCTCTGAGAAGGTGAAGGGTGTAGCATCATGGCAGAGACCGTGCAAAGCTGCAGACTTCCCAGCCATACTCTCAATTAACATACCGATGGTCATGCGCGATGGAAAACCGTGAGGGTTGAACAGAATGTCTGGGACCATCCCACTTTCAGTAAAAGGCATGTCTTCTACTGGCCATAATCTGCTCAAAATGCCCTTTTGCCCATGACGACTGGCAAATTTATCCCCAATAGTTGGGTTCCGAGGGACTCTCATTGTGATACAGATACACTTAAATTTTCCACTCCCAGTGTCATTACTACACACTTTGATGTTATCCACAACACAATTTTCTTTACTCCTAGGAAAAAATAAATCATATAAAAAGTCAAACTATTTGTCTAAACTTAAATACATTTGAGTTTTGTTGATATAAAAGGATATTCCCAACTTATTCTTACCTCTATTCTCTTAATACAAATAAAGTTGGTATCCCTGAAAATATTTATGAATTGGGCTGTTGATTATATTTACTATAGAATTATGCTAATCTGAAAGAATATCAGCAATAAAGGCAGCTGAAAAACTATTATGAAGACCTACTAAAATCAATTTTATTGTTGTAAAAAGAAGCTACAATAAAAATTTAATTTTAGTAAGAGGCGTAATGAACTCGACATTCTGGCCAGAAAACATTCCTAACAATGTTTACGAGAGAAATGATAAAGTTTGAATAATACAGTTTTAAAATAAGTCACCGATAACTCTCAAAAATTGTAACTGACAAGTAGAAAAACAAAGGCAGTACAACAGACAGGAATTTTTGTCTCATTTAAGCAATGCTAATTTAGTTATGACTGAGACAATAACTGCTATGGTTTGAATGTTTGTGTTCCCTCCAAAATTCATGTCAAAACCTAACCCCATTGTGGTGGTATTAAGAGGTGGGGCCTTTAGGAGGTGATTAAGTCGTGAGGATGGAGCCCTTATGAATGGATTAGTGACCTTATAAAGGAGGTGCAATAAGTTGCTTGCCCCTTTCTGCCTTGCCATGTGAGACACCTAGACAGCACCATCTATGAGGAATGGGCTGTTACCAGACACTGAATCTGCCAGCACCTTCATCATGGACTTCCCAGCCTCCAGGACTCTGAGAAATAAATTTCTGTTCCTTGTAAATGATCCAGTCTCAGGTATTAGTATAGCAGGACAAACAGACTAAGATAATAACTAAATAATCACTTATATTTTCTCCAAATATTTTCTTGCTAAAAGATAACTTTCATTGACCTCTAGCAATTCCACTGAGAAATAGCCTTTAAGAAATAGCACAGATACACAAACTTACTTGTAGTACATCACAAAGCTTTCCCCGGTGTTCAGGTTTAGGTAGCCGTAATATGGATCTCCATACTGCAGTTTTGCTCCTATAAACGGCAATCCATCATCATCTAACTTCTGCAAAATCCGTGGGTCACCAGGTTTGACTCCAAACACCAGATTATCATCTCCTTGTTTAATTTTTTCAGTGAGGTCTATGAACTCAGACTTGTAGACACTTCCATGGGCAAAGCCTCGCTCCCAAGAGGCCTTATTCACAATCTGTGAGGTCCAAGAATTGTTAATTTAAGAGACTGAGGCCAAATTAGGATTTTCACAATAAAAATGGGTAGGACTATAATAATATTTGGTTTAGGACAACTGGCCTTAGATTTTATAATTCTCCCTACATTTTCCAAATTACTGATACTATAAAAACCCAGACACATTTAAATGGCTTAAATCCTAATCACATATAAATATAAAAGATATATTTAAGACCACACTCATTCAACACTTACTCATAGTGCGCACTCAAATGTTTGATATCTGAATATTTAGTAAATATTCCTCAAGGCTTGCCCACTTTCAACTCAGACCAGGAACTAAACATTTACCAGAACTCTCATATGTCAAATACTAGGTACTTGGGGACACAAAAATATTCCTTGTGTCATCTTACAGTAAACAAAAGTTAAAACATAAAAAGACTAGAACTACATCTCCTGGAAAAACTTACCATGGCATCTTCCATATCATAGCCAGTGTAAGAAATCACAGCTACGATGGCATTTGTCCCAATTGGATAGTTATCCATGTCATAATAATCATACATGTAAGGTCTCACTAATGGGCTTTGCGGAGTCTGAAGACGATACAATTTATTATCTGATCGATCTTGATAAGTGAGAAGTGGAAAGCCCATAGTTTGTTTACCTACAGAGGGAAATAACATCTTAGCATTTTCTGTGTTTTTTTTTCCCACCTTGATTATACAGGTGAAAATTAAAAATGGCAACTACATATTCACCATAGGGGAATGAATAAATAACACATCATGGTAGTTATGCTTACTACAGACTAATACATGGATGTGAAAATGAAGTACACCAACATGTATCAACACAATCAGATCACGAAAACCATGCTGAGTAGGACAGAAAGCACACAATGACATTCAATATGGCACTATTTATGTGCATTTGCAACACATCTCAAACAATTCTATACTTAGTTTATGGATATGTGTGAGATATAATATATAATAAAAGAATAAGTATGTGCACACACTACAGGCTATTGCTACTTCAGGGTGAATGGGAGCAGTGATTATTATCTAATGAGATTACTTTCTTACACACACACACACACACACACACACACACACACAGAAGAAAATGGAATATTTGTTAATACTGGGTAGAGGGGCAGAGGGTGAGACTCTTCCTTATACTGCCTCATGGTACAGAGAATCATTTCTGAACAAAATGACTTAAAAAACTAAAATACACATATAAGTGAAATCTTTCAAAAATATAGGGAGGTTTACATCTTCCACTAAGAAAGGGCTACTCTTAAACAAGATCCCCCTCAACACTTGAGTAAAAGATCCAGAATAAAACCAAAACAACTACACATAGCTGGAAATAACCAAAAGCAGTCAGAGACTGAGAGTAATTTTCACCTGAACAAAAGGAACTGTACTAGGTGATTTTCCAGTTTTTACATTGTTAATGTTTTTCTTTTTTAGCCTAATGGCCCAGTCAATGTGATGGTTACAACTTAGATACTGGTTTGAAGAACCAAGGAATAGAGTTCAGAGCATGACAGCAACTAGAAAGTAAAGAGGCATATTTCAGAAGTCAGAGAACCACAAAGGGAGATCCTTAAATTCTGCATATTGGTGGAGTCCTGAACAATGCACACATGAGAAAGATCCAAACAACCTATCTCAGGCTGAGACAATGCATTTCAACTGCTGTGTTCACTTAAGTAACTACCATTAAAACTAAAAAACCAGTCCTCGTCCCCTGGAGTGTTTTTGGTGACATGCAATGAGCCATGGTGATGAACAGTATAGTAAGGAAAGACACATGAAGAAAAAAACTAAAATGGATTTGCAGGCCAAACACCACAAAACAAAACAAAAAATCAACTATAACAGACCCAGTTTTTAAAACATTATTTACCATGTTCACAATACAATCCAATATCAATGGATATACAAAGAAGGAATAAAACATGACTCATAGTCAAGAAAAAAATATAATCAATGGAAACTGATCCTGAGATGACCCAAATGTTGGAATTAGCAATGATTTTGAAACACCTATTATATAAACCATGCTCAAAAATGTAAAGAAAAATATGTCCACAATGAAGATAAGAAATCTCAGAGAAAAGGGAAACTATAAAAAAGAAACAAGTGGGAATTCTAGACTGAAAAATACTCATGTGCCACATGATGATGTTTTAGTCAACAGTGGACTCATCTATGATGGTGGTCCCGTAAGAATACAACATTTTTACTGTACCTTTCCTATGTTTAGATAAACAAATCCTTGCCACTGTGTTATAATCGCCTACAGTATTCAGTACAGCAATATGCTCTACAGATTTATAGACTAGATGTACAGTAGGTTATGACATCTAGGCTTATAGAAGTGTACTCTATGATGCTCACATGATGACAAAATTGCCTAAGGACTCATTCTCAGAATGTATACCTGTTGTTAAACGATGTATGAGTGTAAAAGAAAATTTAGTAGATGACAGAGTGAGAAGTGAATGTGATGATAGATCAATAAAAATGATCCAATCTGAAGAAAAGAAAGAAAAAAAGGACATAAAAAAGAGAACAGAAACTCAGTGGCTTATGGGACAATAACCAAAAGGCTTTTAACAGACATGACAGCTGAAATCTCAAAAGAGGAGGACAGACAGACTAGGGAAGGAGCAATATTTGTAGAAATAATGACAGAAAACTTTACAAATCTGGCTAAATTAAAAAAAAAAAAAAAAACTCCAAGCAGGACAAACACAAAAAATTCTATCTAGGCATATCATAGTCAATCTGCTAAAAACCAAATATAAAGAGAAAATCTTAAGGATACAGGAAAAACACATTATATTCAGGAAAACAATAATATCTATATGACACACCCAAGAAGAGACTGTAAGAGCTTTTAAGTGGTCAAAGAACAATAACTGTCAACTCAGAACTGTATGTCCATTGAAAATTTCCTTCAAGAGAAGCAAAATAAAGACATCTGTCAGATAAATGAAAACCAAGAGAATTTGTGGCCAGCAACTTGCACTATAAAAAATGTTAAAGGAAATCTTTCAGACCAAAGGGAAATTATATGTGATGAAAACCTGAATTTTTAGGCAGGAATAAAGAACACTGAAAGTGATAATTAAATGACAATAATGGCTTCTATTCTTCAAAAGCCGAATCACCAGATCTAAGACAACCTAAACCAATGGACATTTTATAATTCTTAATACTTTTCTCTGAGTTTGAAATTACTTTAAAAAGTTACAAGTGTTTTTATTCTGTAAGTGTTACTACCACCCCATACTCCCTCCACCTCACCCATCTGGCACTGGTACATGTTCCGTGGACTCTGGTTGTGATCGGAGAAAGGGATGAAGTTGGCGATCACACTCAGCAGGCTGTGAGGGAAGAGCTCCTGGTGTGTGGTGACTCCAGCAATCACCTCATCCTCAAAGATGGCGACGTTCATGAAGATCTGGAAAAGAGCAAGTTCAAGGCTCACAATAACCGTGACTGCTCACATATCAACTCTTGTTTCTCAGAGTTCAGTACTCAAAGACCTGAAAGAAAACCTTCCCCACCCAGCATCAGGAATGCTGAAGGGATCCACTGGGAAGCACAGGGAAGCTTCTAGTTAGAAATAGCACCTGCCTTATGTATTTCACTCTATATCTGCCCCAGTTCAACTATGAAAGGGAATAGGAAGAAAGAACAATCTTTTAAGTGGCATAAAGCCCACAATTTTGCAACTGCAAAGATATAGGCAAAGACTGACAGTGAGTCTAATAGAATTGTTTCCATCTCACGGGCTAGGGCAGAGCCGGGTGCAAAGGAGTTCTGGGAGCTGGGCAGGCAGCTCATGTGACCACCAGTCCTCTCTCAGGCTCCATGCAGCAAGATAAGCCATGGAAACTGCTTTGCGCTGGTCACAGAGGTGGCAGAAAATAAGCGTGACTTTCTTTCAAATGTCTAATTGTTACTGTACCAAATGATAATAATCCCTTTAAAAGGAACAGTTAAGTCTCTGAAAGTTACACAGGCACACATGCCCACTCATCACACACACTTACGTACCTGTTCCATAGTTCCAATTAGTTCTTCTTTGCCTAATCCCAAGTTCTGCACAGGCCGTACCAGTCTACAAGGAGTGGTAAAAAGAAACAATCCTGGGTACAGACTTGCTTTTCCTGTCATGGGGACAAGGGCCACCTCCATCCAGGGAGGAATTCTTTTTTCTCTCAACACCTGTTTTTGACAAAAAGAGATACAATAAAAATAACTGATGTGTGGCTGTCCCCACAAATCTCAACCCCACGTGGAATGCCACTCCCCCACACCCAGCCATGACCAAAGCCCTACTTCGGAGGGGGGAGGAGGGGCTCAGCACCGCCAGCAGGCAAACCATTAACAACTGAGGCTGGGGATGAGGCTCACTGAGAATGTGTCTATAGACACACTAATGAAATTCTGTCCTCTGGAGTCTAAAATATATTTGATTACTGGCTTTATTTTTAGATGATTAGGTGAAAAGGCCCTTCCTTTTCACTTAATAAGTGAAATTAAGGAAAAATACCAAAACTATTAAACAGCTGCTAGGTAAAAGGAGAAATACAAACCGAAATTACAGAAATTTGGGGGAAAAAAGGACAAAATCCATGTACCCAAAGTTTTATGGGGATTCACAGCTAAACCCATTATTAATAAAAATGAAAGGATGTGTGAAATAAGAAAAAAAAAAAGAAAGGACATTGGGCAGACGGGGAGATGGAGTGATATAGATCAAAGTGTACAAAGCTTCAGTTACACAAGAGGATTAAGTTGTGGAAATTGAATGTACATTTTGTGACTACAGTTAACTATATTATATTGTATACTTGAAATTTACTAAGAGGGTAGATCTTAAGTGTTCTCATCACATATACCCACATATAATGATAAACAAAAAAAGAAAGAAAGAGAATGAAACTAAACGAATTAACTTAAAAGCTAAAAAAAAGAATAAAATAAACCAAAAGAAAGCATAACAAATTATTTTAAACAATCTGAAATTAATGAAATCAGAGTATAGAAAGGTTCAAATTAATGAATCAAAATTCTTGGTCCTTAAAAATCAATACCCACTACTTAATGTAATCAAAGTGGGGGTAGGAGGGAGGGACAATATATTTCAAGAAACAAAAGAGGAAAACCACTGAAACAAAATTTTCAAAGTCATACTTTCTACTTTTTTTTTTTTTGAGGCAGAGTCTCACTTTGTTGCCCAGGCTAGAGTGAGTGCCGTGGCATCAGCCTAGCTCAAAGCAACCTCAATCTCCTGGACTCAAGCAATCCTGCTGCCTCAGCCTCCCGAGTAGCTGGGACTACAGGCATGTGCTACCATGCCCAGCTAATTTTTTTGTATATATATTTTTAGTTGGTCAATTAATTTCTTTCTATTTTTAGTGGAGATGGGGTCTTGCTCAGGCTGGTTTCGAACTCCTGACCTTGAGCAATCCGCCTGCCTTGGCCTCCCAGAATGCTAGGATTACAGGCGTGAGCCACCATGCCTGGCCCATACTTTCTACTTTGCATACTTTCCATGAAACCAAGATGAAGTGGACAAAATGCAGGTTATCAAAATAGACTAATTTTCAATTTCTAATTTCTATATAAGAAATGAAGATATCAAGAAACTACCCTGCCAAGGAAGCACAAGAGCCAGATGGTTTCACAGCAGACTAGATAACCCAATGTTTCACAAACTGTTTGAGAACACTGAAAACAAATGAAAACTTTCTAATTCTTTTTTATAAAACATTTATGAATGTCAATTTAAAAAATCTTACAGTATTAGTATTTAAGAAAGTATTGGTATTTCTCAAACATTAAGAAAGCAGCATACCATGACCAAGTAGGATTTATTCTAGGAATTTAAACACTCATTATTTATCACTATCACCTGAGAATGATCATTACTAGAAGATGAATGAATACACTCAATTAAAGGAAAAAAATCTTGCAATTTTCCCCCAAAACGCCAAACAATTAAACCTAGAATTACCACACAATCCAACAATTCCACTTCTAGGTCCATACCAAAAAGGACTAAAATAAAAGCAGGGACTTGAACAGATACTCATACACCCATGTTCACAGCAGTATTATTCACAACAGCCCCAAAGTGGAAACAACCCAAGTGTCCTACAAACATTTAAAAAATAAAAACTAAAAGTATTGTTTGATAACTTGGAATATAAAAAAGAAAAACTAAAACTAAATTTTAGTTTAAAAAATTTAAAACTAAAACCCAACAAAATAGAACAGAATATGAACCACAAATTCATCCTGTTGCTAAAGGACAATTTTTCCAATGGCCATTATCTAAGCCAACCAATACTCTTTGTTAAGAGAAAATTCCAAATATAAGTTATTTAAGGAATGTCCTTCTACTTGCCTTTTTTAAAAAATGTTATTTTCAAAACCTAGAAGGCGATAGGGTATGACATGTCTTATAGATCTTTAATATTATTGAAATGTCCTTATTTTGAGATCCCTTATGTCACTAGTATTAACAAAGGAAAAAAAGTTAAAATTTGTTAGATAAGGAGACTGGGGGCTCAATGAAACTATCAACAAATACACATGGGTCAAATATCAGTCACTGACCCCAACAATAAGATCAGTACAAGGCAAAACTCTCACCAGAGGGAATATGCCAACATTTTGGAAGTGGCTTCTACCGCACAACCATTTGATCACTCTGAACGGCCCTGGGGCTAACCCCATCAATTAGAAAAGGATTGAAAACCTAAAGTTAATGACAACTTACAAAGAGTTAAGATCACCTTAAAATGACGGAGAGAGTCTGCAACTCCTGGAGCCAGCTCCTTATCCACCCAGCCAACCATGACACCATCCAGCAGGACAGGGTAGCACTCACTGTAGGGTCTGTGGGGAGCTCCATCTACAGGAGTGACCCCTGGTAAGGGAACAAACAGACGCAACACGTTAGAGTGCTCTGTGCACCGTTGCAAATTCCCTCCTGATGGGTTCAACAGTTGCTTCATCAGTTTAGATATCTAATTATCCTTGTCTCTGAAACTGGTACTGGTGTATCTCTTTACTGAGCTTCACAGATACTGCGTTTTTTTTCTTTTTTTACACAATTTAAGGTTTGTGGCAACCCTGCATCGAGCAAGTCTACTGGCACCATTTTTCCGACATACTGTGCTCACTTCATGTCTCTAGGTCAGTGTTTTGGTATTCTCACAATATTTCAAACATTTCTATTTTATCTGTTATGGTGAGCTGTGATTAGTGATCTTTGATGTTACTACTATTGTACTTGCAGATCTGGTGGAAACAGCAAGAGAACTAGAATTGAAAGTAGAGTCTGAAGATGCGACTGAATTGCTGCAACCTCATGATCAAACTTGAACAGATAAAGAGTTGCTTCTTACAGATGAGTAAAGAAAGTGGTTTCTTGAGATGGGATCTATTCTAGGTGAAGATGCTGTGAACATTGTTGAATGACAACAAAGGATTTAGAATATTCCATACACTTAGTTGATGAAGCAACAGCAGGGCTTGAGAGGACAGACTCCAATTTTGAAAGCGCTACTGTAGGTAAAATGCTACCAAACAGTATCACGTGTTACAGGGAAATCTTTTGTGAAAGGAAGAATAAACTGATGCAGGAAATAAGATATCTTACTACTGCAGCCACCCCAATCTTTAGCAACCACCACCCTGATCAGTCAGTAGCCATCAACATTAAGGCAAGACCCTCTACCAGCAAAAGGATTACGACTCACTGAAATCTCAGATGACTGTCAGCATTTTTTAGCAATGAAGTATTTTTAATTGAAGTATTTAGAATGTTTTTTGTAGACATAATAGAATATAACATAGTGTAAACAAGTTTTGTATGCACTAGGAAAGCAAAATGTTCACTTTATTGCTGTATTTGCTTTATCACTGTGGTCTGGAACACAACAGCAACATATCTGAGCTATCTCTGTATGTTTTTCTATTGCGTGTTTAAGTCTAAATCACTTTAGCAAGGACACCCAAGAAGCTACTAACTCTGATTGCCTGTGAGGACGTTAGCTAGCAGTGGTCCTCAAACTTTTTGGCAACAGAGACCAGTTTCATAGGAGACAATTTTTCCACGGGGGTACATGGGGGGAGGTGGAGCTCAGGTGGGGATGCTCAGCCCAGTTCCTAACAGGCCACAGACTGGTACCAGGCCTAGGGGTTGGGGACTGCAGAGGGGACAGGGGTATAAGGGAGACTTTGTACACCTTTTAAATATTTTGATTCCTGAGCCATGTAAATGTATTAACTCTCTCCTAAATAATCTAATTACAGTTGATCATTATTTGCTACATGATATCTGTAAGCACAAAATCAGTACTAGGAAGTGCTTTCAAGGTTACTTGACTACATGGCAAAAAATTTTAGTCCCCTGATGCACACTCCCAGCTAAGGTCAAACAAGGTGATGCCCTGTCTTCTTGTCTCAGCTCACGTTGTAATCAAGTGACATTTTCACAGTGTGTTTAGTGCCATATATTTTGCATTTTGTTGTTGATTTCACTGTATAAAGTGGTCCTAAAGTGTAGTGCTGAAGTGCTATCTAGTGTTCCTAAATGCAAGAAGGCTGTCATGTACCTCACAGAGAAAATACCTGTTAGATAAGCTTATAGCTATAGTGCTGTTGTCTGTTGCTGCTCAATGTTAACAAATCAATGATACACATTACAGAAGGTGTCTTTCAATGGAAAGACACATAAAACAAGGCTATGCATTGATTAACTGATGAAAATTGATCAGAGGCCCCCAGGAACCTACTCCTGTACCTCTCCTAGAAACAAGGGTTCAATATTCACTGGTGACTTTATAGAACACAAGTACTACATGTAATGAGTATCAGCTGGAATTAAGTAAAAAAAGAACATTCTTCCATGAATCATAAATACCATCTGAAGACAGGAAGTGTTGAGCATCACAGATTACCCAGTCTGTGTTTCATCTATCACCCTAAGATGACCAGCTCTACCAAAAGTTAGGCAGCATTTTCTATTCTGTCTTCTTCCCCAGTATCAGAGCAAATAACCCTTCCCATCTCTTCTGCACTAAGAAATATTTTCCACCTCTCCACTATCTGTTTTTCTCCTTTCTATCCTCTCCCAGACTTTGATGTTTTTTAATCACTGGTAGCAAAGAAAATTCTTTTCCTTTTAGAGAGTGAACCTTCAAATTACACTGATTACATCTTCTGAATCTTGAGTATTTCTTGGCTACTTTCTCTGGGGCTCCATTCTCACAGGCCACTCTCTAGTTGGGAGAAATAATTTTAAGCAAAAATTTCTTGACTGTTGCCTCAATGTCCATCTGGTTGCTCGAGAATCCCTATATCGTCTGATCCCCATGAATTGGACCTCTTACCACATAAACATTAGTCCCACCCACTGGAGACCTCGCCCACAGCTCACCAAAGACTTAACACTCTGGTTTCCAATTCCCAACAGGAGAACCCCAGGACTAGAAGACTACAGAGCACCCAAAGACAAGACTGACATCTTTTAAATATGAAGGTAAATGCAAACCAAATACCAAACCTAGAAGAATAATGATAGCTTTCCAGCAGGACCAAAGTTACCAGGAACAAAGGTTATGTATCTGATGACATTGAGGCAGACTTGACAACCCCCTTTCCTTTTTCTTTTCCTTCCCTTTCCCTTTCCCTTTCCCTTTCCCTTTCCCTTTCCCTTTCCCTTTCCCTTTCCCTTTCCCTTCCCTTCCCTTCCCTTCCCTTCCCTTCCCTTCCCTTCCCTTTTTCCTTTCCTTTTTCCTTTCCTTTTTCCTTTCCTTTTTCCTTTCCTTTCCTTTCCCTTTCCTTTCCCTTTCCCTTTCCCTTCCCCCTCCCTTCCTTCCTTTCTTTTTCTTTCTCTTTCTCTCTCTCTCTCTCTATTTATTTATTTATTGATTGATTGAGACAGAGTCTTGCTTTGTTGCCTGGGCTACAGCGAGTGCCAGGGCGTCAGCCTAGCTCACAGCAACCTCAAACTCCTGGGCTCAAGCGATCCTTCTGTTTCAGTCTCCCAAGTAGCTGGGACTACAGGCATGCGCCACCATGCCCGGCTAATTTTTTCTATATATATTAGTTGGCCAATTAATTTCTTTCTATTTATAGTAGAGACGGGGTCTCGTTCTGGCTCAGGCTGGTTTTGAACTCCTGACCTTGAGCAATCCGCCTGCTTCGGCCTCCCAGAGTGTTAGGATTACAGGCATGAGCCACCGCGCCCGGCCTGACAACCCCCTTTTAAACTGTTTTCCTGCAAACCTGTAAACATTGTTTTCTACTTACAGATGCAAAGGCGCACCAAGAGATGCAAGGAGAGTGACCCAGAAGGTTACACAACAGCTTCTATATTTCCAATATTAATTGCTGGTCTACTGCAAATGCTTTGGCATCGTTTTTTGGTTTTGTTTTTTGAAAGAGAAAAACAAAACACCTGTAACATTGAATTCTTCCCATTTCAATTTTCAAAGAATGGATTTGAAACCTTCTGTAGAGAACCCAAGAAAGCAGCTCAACTCCTGCACAGAAAAGTGAAAAAAAATTCTTGCAGGAATTCTCTGCTGAATCCCCAAAGGAAACGTAACTTACGGTTTGCAGCTGTTAAAAACCATATAACCGGCCGGGCGCGGTGGCTCACGCCTGTAATCCTAGCACTCTGGGAGGCCGAGGCGGGCGGATTGCTCAAGGTCAGGAGTTCAAAACCAGCCTGAGCAAGAGCAAGACCCTGTCTCTACTATAAATAGAAAGAAATTAATTGGCCAGCTAATATATATACAAAAAATTAGCCGGGTGTGGTGGCGCATGCCTGTAGTCCCAGCTACTTGGGAGGCTGAGGCAGTAGGATCACTTGAGCCCAGGAGATTGAGGTTGCTGTGAGCTAGGCTGATGCAACGGCACTCACTCTAGCCTGGGCAACAAAGCGAGACTCTGTCTCAAAAAAAAAACAAAACAAAAAAAAAACCAAAAAACCCCCCATATAACCAAACAAGACTGCTGATCATACATACCCAGGTTGCACAGCAAAGCTGGAATAGGTGTTGTATACACAAACTGTGTGACAACCTCACACACAGCAGTTAAGTGGTTCATCAGCCCACAGGGCTCCCCGTCTGGGGTGTGCACGGGACAAAGGAAGCCCCAGGACTCTGGCAGCAGCCTGCGTACTGTGGTGGTCCTCATCTTGGCAAAATCAGCCCCTCTGTGCACACAGCGGAAATGGGAGAGATACCGTATGAAGTTCAGCTTGTCAGCTACAACACAAAGTCCAGAATCTTGCAGGAAGCCAAGACCTTAATAAAACAAACGTTACTCAAAAAACGAGCCAAATTTTTAACTTCTCCTAGTTCTGATAAGTGGAGTTCACAAAAACTAGCAAAAAAAAAATCCTCGTGTTTCACAAATCATATTAGCCCCAAGTGGTTCCCTATCTCCTCCACCACTACCCTCTACATGAGAGAACATTAAATGAGTAATAAAATAGCAAGTATTTAAATTCATCTGGAAGGCCTGGATGATATACAAGCATGTGATAGCATGCTAACAAAGGAATCTGCATCAGTAGTAACTATTAAAAAAATGCAGATTTCTGGGGTCCCAATTACCACTTTTTGCTTCTAAGTTTCCCAGATCATTCTAAGGTAACTGGTTTAGGGATGGGCACGCATAGCGACTCTTCCGGACTTCCTGTGAGGTAACTCTTCCTCAGAGATCTAAGTGGTTTGGCATTTTCCAGGAGGCACAGGAAATATATTTGGTTATTAGAATTAGATTTAAGCTATACAGACTTCAGACTGATATATAGTCAAAATTTACCACAACATGAAATCTGTCTTTAGTGAAAATGAGGAATTTACTTTTAAAAAGAATCTCTCTCAGGGTCATGTAAATTGTAAGGAAATAAATTGAAAAACACAACTAAAATGAAGCCAGTCTATTTAATTTCACCTGTTTTAGAACGCAGATTCCCAGTAGCAAAAAGGTATTCAAATGGTTTTGTGAGCTCACTTCCCAGGCTAAAAATCTTCATCAAATTATCCGTGTTCACGGACACATTGGTCTTCTGAGCCTTCTTATCAAAAGCTATTTTAATAGACACTAACCAAGATTCCATTTTTTCCTGAAATAAAATAATTTCAATTTAAAATAGCATCCATTTTAATTATCACAAATTTCATATTTATTCACATGTAACCTGTACGATCCTTAACAATGGTCCACAAATTTATATACCTGACATGGAAAACATCTAAATCACAACCCTGAAAGACAGCTTTTCTACAGCTGTCTGTACACATAGTACTATACGTGTGGCATTTCTTATTACAGAATAGATAAGCAAGTTCCTCTAGGACAGGGTTTCTTAACCTCAGCCCTATTAACATTTTGGTTGGAGAGTCCTTTCTTATGAGGGCCTTTACCCAATGGATGCCAGTAGCACCTGCCACCGAAGTTGTGACAACCAAAAATGTCTCCAGACATTGCCAAATGTCCCTTGGAGGGTGGGATGGGGGCAGACCACTGCTTTAGATAACCCACATTAAGGGAAAGAATCGAATTTATTTGCTTTGGCCTTAGAAGTTTTTAATTTAAATGCTCTTGTCCAGCAGTTGGAACAGCTTCACTCCCAGAAAAAAGCAAAAGCTTTGAGACCAAAGCAGTAGCCCCATGTTCCTAAGAAGTAAAACCAAGAGCTCAAAGTCCCCAAATTAGATCCAACATCCAAGATAGCTGATGAACTAATGGGAAAGATTGATACTTTCTTCCCCTATAAAATCTGAAACATAATGGAAATGAAGTAAAGACCAAAAAAAAAGAAGAAAGGAAGCCACAGAGACAAGAAACAGATCTGTACCCTGAGATTGGAGAAGGCTAGGAGAATAAGGAGCTCAACTCTCTCCTTTGTTAGAGGTCTGCCTATTGTCTCTTATTAAAGTCTTGCAGAGGCAAAGAACTAGCATTTATTGGGAACACACCATAAACTGACCCTCTCAATCTATGTTCAAATTTCACAACAAACTTTTCTTCAGGAAGCAGCACATTACAGAACCACCGAAAAGTTTTAGGCCAAATACATGTCAGTATTAAGAATTTTTCAGACTTTAGAAAAGAAACAGGTACATAAATCATGTACTACCTAACACCCATGATGGAGAATGAGGTAGACTTATAATCAAATGTGATCAAGTGTAATCGAAAGTAAAGCACACAAACTATTAATAAGTAGGATAATAAAAGTTACAAAAAAACCTTCTGTTCATTCAGGTCAGGTCTTACTGCCAACTCATGCTTTTTTTAGTTCTAGCATTTTTAATTTTGTTGAGACAGAGTCTGCCTCTGTCATCTTGGGTAGAGTGCAAAGACATCATTGTAGCTCACTGTGACCTCAAACTCTTGGTCTCAAAATATCCTCTTTCCTCAGCCTCCTGAGTAGCTGGGACTACAGGTGTGTGCCATGACACTAGCCTATTTTTCTATTTTCAGTAGAGATGGGGTCTTGCTCTTACTCAGGCTGGTCTCAAACTTCTGAGCTGAAGCAATCCTCCTGCCTTGGCCTCCCAGAGTGCTAGGATTATAGGTGTGAGCCACCATGCCTGGTCTCTATTTTTTTTTTTTTTTTTAGAGACAGAGTCTCACTTTGTTGCCCAGGCTAGAGTGAGTACAGTGGCGTCAGCCTAGCTCACAGCAACCTCAATCTCTTGGGCTCAAGAGATCCTACTGCCTCAGCCTCCCAAATAGCTGGGACTACAGGCATGCACCACCATGCCTGGCTAATTTTTTTTTTATATATATATATTTTTTAGTTGGTCAATTAATCTCTATTTTTTTTTTTAGTAGAGACAGGGTCTTGCTCTTGCTCAGGCTGGTCTCGAAATCCAGACCTCGAGCAATCCGCCCGCCTCGGCCTCCCAGAGTGCTAGGATTACAGGTGTAAGCCACTGCGCCTGGCCTCTAGTGCTTTTTGAAGCTAGCATTACAGATAAGTGATGGGAACATATGTATGCAACCTGGATACATCGTACAAGCAGCAGAACTGAGCAGGAGACCTCTAAGAAGCCTTCCTATGGTGAAAGCTGTAAGAGAACAGTTGTCCCTTGGACAACTGTCCCTCTGTGAGGGACTGGTTCCAGGACCTCCATGGATATCAAAACCCAGAGATGCTTAAGTCTCTATAGGAAATGGCTTAGTATTTGCATATAACCTACACATATGCTCCACATACTTTAAATCATCTTTAGATTATTTATAATATCTAATGCAATGTAAATGCTAAGTAAACAGTTGTTATACTGCATTTTTTTATAATATGTGCATTTTTATTGTGTTTTTATTTCCTGAATATTTTCAATCTGAGGTTGGCTGGATCCATGGAGGTGGAACTTGCAGATACCCAGGGCTGACTGTATAAAATTGCACTAATCTGAAAAGATGAACTGACACTGCCTACGGCAGAGAGGAGACACCACCCAGAAACCATGAACAGTGTCCACCTTGTCTGTCATAAGAGTGTAGAAAGGGCAGCTCTTTAATAGTGCCTATTTCCTCACTGTTGTTAAGTAGCCCTCAGAACTAATTACACCAACCACAGGGTCTCAATTTATGCTGATGACAGTCAGGGTAGTGGCTAAAGATGTCTGTAATTCCAAAATTACAACTAGATAGAAAGAATGAGTTCCAGTGTTCTGCAGTATTGTGGGGTAAACATGGATTACTATAATTTATTATGCATTTTCAAAAAGCTAGGAGGATTCTGAATGTTCATAACACAAAAACAGAATGATAAATGTCTGAGCTAATGAATATGCTAATTACCCTGATCTGATTATTATACATTGCATATATGCATTAATAGACCACTCTGTATTCCTTAAATATGTACAAATATGTACATATCAACTAAAAATAAAAGGAAAGAAAATAAAAACAAGTCAGAGCTTCCTATGGGTGAGTCAGAAACCACTGAAAATCCCTGAGGGAATGTTTTAAGTAGGTTTTCCCCTATATCTGATATTTGGAGGAAAAGCTGGAAGACATGCATAGGCCATTTAATCACTGGGTATCTCTGCCCACAGGCCTCTGATTGAATATATTAGCCATTGCTAATCCAGCTGATGAAATAATCACTGCTTGAACTCTCACACTTTAAAGACCTACGTATCTCTTCTTCCAGAAGATAGCACCAAAGTACCGCATTTCATTTCTGCCTACTATCTGGTACTGGCACTCTCAAATAATTTTACAGTCATTTTAGACACAGCATTTAGTGTCACTGTGGATCCAGTTATACCGAGTTATCAGTACTTTAAAGGAATAACTTTCTGGGAGGAATACGGGGAACTTTATAAAATTCTACAATGAATCTCAAAACAGACTTTTCCCTAGTATGACTTTTAAGTAGACTAGTAAATATCTGTACTGTACAGATGAGGGAACTACCAGAGAGTGAGCGAGAACTGTGAGCTCACCAAACAAGGGTGTCAGTGTAGGTTTGGTCTTTTATCAAGTGAACCTAAAAGAGCAAGATTCAATGGAAGAGCCTGGCACCGTTGTTCCACTTCTGCTTGTTGGTGTTTTCCATTCCTCTGTTAAGCCTACACCTGCCAGTGTCATAAGCTTTTTTATCAGGCATATGTTGAACACTTTAGCTTCACAGTCAAGACAGAATCAGAAATCCTGGATAGGCTGGGCACAGTGGCTCACGCCTGTAATCCTAGCACTCTGGGAGGCTGAGGAGGAAGGACCGCTCAAGGTAAGGAGTTCAAAACCAGCCTGAGCAAGAGAGAGACCCCGTCTCTACTAAAAATAGAAAGAATTTTTTTTTTTGAGACAGAGTCTCGATTTGTTGCCCAGGCTAGAGTGAGTGCCATGGCATTAGCCTAGCTCACAGCAACCTCAAACTCCTGGGCTCAAGCGATCCTCCTGCCTCAGCCTCCCAAGTAGCTGGGACTACAGACATGCGCCACCATGCCAGGCTGATTTTTTGTATTTTTTTAGTTGGCCAATTAATTTCCTTCTATTTATAGTAGAGGTGGGGTCTCGCTCTTGCTCAGGCTGGTTTCGAACTCCTGACCTCGAGCAATCAGCCCGCCTCGGCCTCCCAGAGAGCTAGGACTACAGGCGTGAGCCACCGCGCCCGGCCTAAAAATAGAAAGAAATTAATTGGCCAACTACAAATACATAGAAAAAATTAGCTGGGCATAGTGGCATGTGCCTGTAATCCCAGCTACTCAGGAGGCTGAGGCAGAAGGATTGCTTAAGCCCAGGAGTTTGAGGTTGCTGTGAGTTAGGCTGACACCACGGCACTCTAGCCCGGGCAACAGAGTGAGACTCTGTCTCAAAAAAAAAAAAGAAATCCTGGATATAATACTGATTTCTCTATTTCCCTTGTCTTTTCTCATGACTATGTCTACACTTCCTCATTTAGATTTAAAAAGCAAGACCTGAATAGTCTACAAATAATACAGAAAATAGGGCCATTACTTCTGGCAAGAAATATCAACTTCGTATAACTTCTTTCTTTTTAAAATTTTTCCCACAAATAGGACTCTTTATTTGTCCTTATTAACAGTCTGAATTTCTATACAAAGTAAAAGTGAAGAAGGAAGCTATATAAAGTGAAAATACATTTTAAAGAGAAATGAATGGGTCAGTCTCCATGAGTGGAGAAAGACATATAGGGCTTATTTCAATGTAAATAAAATGTGAATTTAAAAGTCTGTAATTTATCTTATGTCATGGTCATGTATCCTCTGAAGACTGTGTTCCAAACTTACAAGTTTACAACTTAAACATAGCTGGTAAGGAATTAAACACTCTTAAGCAATGAATTCTCTGAAAAAGTCCTAATATTCCCATTTCCCTGTTGCTAAAACAGGTCCCCTTAGTAATGCCTTGCTCTACTAAAGACATATTATTCCTAACAGTGTGGGATACAATGAACCCACCATGCTTAGTTTAAGTAGGTGGGAAATGCAACTTAGCCTTTACTCAACAGGCTACCAATAACAGAAAACTTCTGCTGTCTGATTTCATTTTTTGCTAGGGAAATACTAGGCTGCTGAAATTTTCCAATCTAATTTTATGGATAGAGCAGACAGAAACAAAAATTATTAGTTTTCAGTATTAATTAAGAATTACTAATTAGATAAGGAATTAGGAGATCTTTACTTTAGCTTTCTCTACCTTCCCACTACATTACCTCTTATATTAAATGCTTTTTAGATAAAATGCAAAATATAAAATGCCACCAAATCAACATTCTTATGAAATCATTTTTGTGTAATGCTAAGTCTCTCTCTCTCTCTATATATATATATATTTACAATTAATTGTCAGCATTTATAGTAGTTATGTCTTACTGAATTATGTCTTACTGAATACTGAACCCTCACTCCTAGGGGAAACACAGGGCTGGATTCCTGCAAGTCTCTGCTCGTAACATTGTAGTCAGCCGATCAATACATAACTTTGATTTGTGTTTCTATTGAAAGACAAGTTATTAGCTGGGCACACTGGCTCACACCTGTAATCCTAGCACTCTGGGAGGCTGAAGCGGGAGGATCGCTTGAGTCCAGGAGTTTGATGTTGCTCTGAGCTAAGCTGATGCCATGGCACTCTAACCCAAGTGGCACAGTGAAACTTTGTCTCAAAAAAAAAAAAGAAAGAGAACTTATTAGGTATATGTTGTTAATTCATTAACATGGAACTCTCAGGCACAGCACAGCCTTCTTACATTTAGAAACACTAGACAGCACTCAGCACTATACCTGGGGCTATTCTAAAGAGCAAAAATCATGAATAAAAAGCACAAAAAGTGAAAAACATCACACTAAACAGACCTTAAAAAGGACCCTTGTTTACAGCATCAGGGCTGACACAAGATAGCAGAGCCCTGCCTTGCCTGACCTCACTGGTAACAGGCATCAGAACTCAAGATTTTTTATTGCTCTGCTCATGTCTCTGAATAACCACAAAAACATGAGTATTAATATTTGGATTACAAATAAAGTTTAACCAGTAGGTGAATTCGCAAATATAGAATCTGTGACTAATTCAGATCAATGGTATGTAGGCCATTTACTTTCTATCATTAACCCTTTGCACTAGCTTGCTTTTTTCTCATTATCCTCATTTGAAATGAGGAAAAATGAGAAAGATGAGAAAAAAATGAGAATTTTTTCTCATTATCCACTCGACATTATCTACACTCAACATCCGAGTGCAAAGGGTTAAAGCTATAACCAAGATTTGATGTGGTCTTTCAACTATATAAAAATATTAAACAAATTTCCAAACCTAGTATAAGCTACAATTTTTTATTCCCTTATTGATAAATGAACAAACAAAAGGAGATCATGAAAAGTGCTAAAACCAGAAGTCAAAACATGCTAAAAACAACACCGCTTGATACAATCACACCATTCCACAAGTGGCACCACTGGCAGAGGGGGAGGCTGCATGCGTTTACCTTCAGAAACATAAGGAAGAGCTGACCAGGTGTAAGGACTTCTTGATTCACTATACTGTCAGGATTGTCCTCCATGCACTCTCCTTTGGCTAATGCAAAGAGCTTCCGTGTCATGAGACAAAGCATATAAAACTTTTCAGTATTGGATTTCAAGTGGATACAGATGCACTGACTGTCAAACAGAAAGAAAAAGCTTAAGACAATTCAGTTGCTAGTATTACTTAATGCCCTACTAACCAAGGTTCCAAATTCATGCTTAGAATAAAATCCTTACTTGGAAAAACTGCTTTTCACTTTTACTGGCAACATTAGCAAAAGAACAGAACATAGTAGCAAGGTCTAGAGCTGTGCTGGTCAAAATGAGAGCAAGCAGCCACATGCAGCTATCTAACTTTGATTATTAATGAAATTAAATAAAATTCTGAATTCAGCTTCTCAGCCACACTGGCCACATGTGAAGTGCTCAACATGTGGCTTGTGCCTACATATTGGACACTGCTGGTCTAGAACTGGCTCCTTTATAACTATACAGTGATTGTATAAGACAACGTCCTTGCCTCAGGGAAATAAAAGGACATGATGTATGCAACTGCAACTTTCAAAAGCTACGAAAGAAAAATGTATACCTGTGTACAGAGAAAGTAATAAATAAAATACTACTAGTCAGTATATATGTGTCTAATGTATTATACTATTTGAACATTATTCCTGAATTTTGAAGTTATTTCAAAATAAAAGTTAAAAAGTACAAGTGAACTTTAAAAAACGACCATAAAAAGAGAGAAAGGTGAAGATGGCCACAGAAACAAAGGTAGCCTCCACTGGCCAGGACCAGAATTCTACCCCCAGGTTCATTCTGAGTCACACATGATTTGCCAGCCCAAACTGCAGTCAATACAAAGCACCACTGACGCCCCACCACCCCTGCAAAAAACAATGTAAGCAAAGCGCACATACTTAAGCAGGAACTCTGCAGCTTGTTCATTTGGGTACCAGTCGGGAAGATTGAGTTTTACTCTGAAGCATTCACCTAGATAGTTAAGGACCTGTTTTTGTGTGGAACAGCCCTCTTCTGTTACAATCCTTAACATCTGAGAAACAGAGTTCCTAAAGAAAGAGTCATCCTCTTTTCCTTTAATGAGCTCTTGAAAAATCTGATAATCGGAAAAGTTGACAAGTGCCTAGAACAGAAAATAAAAGGTTTTCTTTTTCATGCTCACAAATAATAACTATATTTTATTCATTTAGCAATAATTTTCTCCTCTGATTTTTTCATACCCAAGAAAAATTAGCACTCCACTATTGCTGAATCAAAGGAAGCTCTCCAAAACAAAGCATTCCTTATTTGCCAGCCAGACACCAAGGTGGCCCAGTGGTCTCAGCCTCCTGCTGTTCACAGAAGTGTACCGTCTCCTCCCACACCGAATTGGGGCTGGCCTGTATGACCAAGAGGATATAGCAGAAAAGATGACATGAGAACCCCAAGGCCAAGTTATAAGAAACACTGCATCTTCCACCCTGTTCTCTCTGCAAACTATGTCAGGGAAAGACAGCTGCCTCAAGCAGCCTATGGAGAGGTCTATGTGGACAGGAACTCCATGAGACCTCCTGCCAACAGTTAGCACTGACTCATCAGCCCTGTGAGGGAGCCCCCTTTCAAGTGGATTCTCTGGCCCTGGTCAAGTATTCAAAATGACTGCAGCTCTGACTGACATCTCACTGCACCCTCCTAAGACCCCAGGCACAGCTGCCCGCCAAACCACTCCCAAATTTCTGACCCACGGAAACTGTCGGACAAATGTTTATTGATGCTTTAAGCTACTGAACTTTGAGGTAATCTGTTAGAGAGCAGTAGACAAATAGTATAGCATGTACTTTAACGAGAACCCACCCAATCTGAATAGGGTACTACCTCCACTCAATCCCTTCCTAACAAAAGAAATATATTCATTAAGTCACACCTTAAGTGCAAATCCCAAAGGAAGAAAAAACAGTTCTTTCCGGTAGATAAAGTTCACCGTAACTGTGCCATTTTCCAAGTAGTGAAGGTTCATATTAACCGCGGAATGTTCTTCCCTCACACAGTGCATTGAAACTCCTATTGAAACAAAAAGCAAAAAATCAGAAACTCAGTAATATAATAATTGCCTCAATCATTTTTTTTCTGAACTATTTTATTCTCTTAGATATACATTAGAACCAAATCACTAAGTTTAGCCAAGATTGGCAATCAAAAATGTTTCTAGATCTTGCCAAATGTCCTCTTGGGTACAAAATCTGTTTTGAGAAAAATTAATATAAAGTAACTGAAGCTATGAACTTAAGTTTATTTCAGCCTTAGGCAAAGATTGCTAAGACATACTACATCAATTGATACAAAAGAATAAATGACTAGACATTTTGATGGGCTGAAATGTTGTTTTTCTAGGTATAATATACACGGCCACAACTAAAGGCTGATTTTTTAGCTCAAGTATAAGGATAAATTGCTTAATCATAGGGGTTAAACAAGAATGCAACATGCTGCCTTGTGAAGCCAGGCACTGTCACAGAGTGCTCAAACAGAGGCCAGGTGGCTGTAGCTAGAGACCCTGAGGGGAGTGGAATGGTAGCCTGAACCAGAAGACTTCCAAGACCCATGCCCAAGTCAAGCCAACCTCCATCCTCATAAGCAATAACATAAATACATGCTCTTGCAGTTTGAAAAAAATGGAACGTAATAGAAAGTAGGTTTCCCACTGCGAAATGTTTTTTTCAGGTGTAATTTAAAAAATTTTTTAAATACTTAATTGATCAAAATTATATGTACTGGCCGGGCGCGGTGGCTCACGCCTGTAATCCTAGCTCTCTGGGAGGCCGAGGCGGGCGGATTGCTCGAGGTCAGGAGTTCGAAATCAGCCTGAGCAAGAGCGAGACCCCGTCTCTACTATAAATAGAAAGAAACTAAATGGCCAACTAATATATATAGAAAAAATTAGCCGGGCATGGTGGCACATGCCTGTAGTCCCAGCTACTTGGGAGGCTGAGGTAGCAGGATTGCTTGAGCCCAGGTGTTTGAGGTTGCTGTGAGCTAAGCTGACGCCATGGCACTCACTCTAGCCTAGGCAACAAAGCGAGACTCTGTCTCAAAAAAAAAAAAAAAAAAAGAAAAAAAAATTATATGTACTCAAAGTGTATAATACCTTGAATATACACAAATATAACACTGTGTGATGATTACCACAATCAAATTAATAAAAATAGCAATCACCACCCACAGTTACACACTGTGTGTGCACACATGTGTAGTCAGGACATTTAATATTTACTCTTATCAAATTTCAAGTAAGCAGCACAGCGTCATTAAATATGGGCACTATGTTGTTCATTAGATTCCCCAGAACTTATTCATTTTACAAGTGAAAGTTTGTACCCTTTGACCAAAATCTATTTCTTCCTTACCCCATTATGAAATTTTAACATGGAAATGCTTCATAGAAAAACAAAAATATGAGAAAAATATCAAAGACTCTATTTAGATGTATCTACTTTTTTTTTTTTTAACAAAAGGTTTTAAACTTTTCTAAAAGAGCATTCCAATAATCACTAGAACTTACCATACTGAGTATAGCCAGGCCCTCTGGTTTTCCATTTTGGTCTAATCATTGCAATGGGAAAATTTCTCCGAGGCATAATCAACATTCGAATTACTTTCTCAATGCCATTAATTATAAAATAGCCTCCCATTTCCTGCCAAAAAGATGAATTATAATTTATTAAACAAAGATGCACAACTAATCGCAAACACGTATTTTATCACTAGCCAAATGTAGTATGACATGAATAAGAGGTGAACAGAGGTAAAAGGAACTACTGATCCCTTGAGAACAGTACACAGGCACTGTTTATGTGTGCATTAACAGTCTTCTCAAGTACATTAAAAAGTTCCTAAGGACATGGGAGAAAAGTATGGAAGGAAAACAAGGTATTACTTCTCTCTACTAGACAGACTGGAACTAACTTGCCTTTCTGTCTTCTAAAATGACCTCAGTCTTCAAATAACATTAACAGACTTATTCCAAAGAGAAGCCTAAAGGTTAAAATGGTAATCATTTTGCTTCCATAAGAGTATGGTTTCCCAAGAAGTTAAAGAGCTAGTATTTACTAATTGCCTACTATGAAACAGGTATATCATGCCAGGCACTCTATGTTATTATAACATTTAATCCTCATAACAGTAAGTGGGATAACAACTAATGTGCTTATTTTCAGCAGAGGAAACTTCTCCAACCCTCACAACTGGTAAGTGGAAGAAATAGATGTCAAACACAGATTGGACACCAAAACCCTCTGGGAAGAGGGTTTGTATTGTATAACACATTGTTATACAATTGTATAACACATTGTTATCTATTGGAGACAGCGTCTGTTTGTCTTGATAACTTCAATCAGTACTGCAAAGCCACCTAACATAGTTGAAAGAAATGATGAAGGGGAAGAAGGTATATGAATCATTTAATATGCTTACAGAATCTGTCAGTAAAGCAGACTTTTTTTTTTTTTTTTTTTGAGACAGAGTCTCACTCTGTTGCCTGGGTTAGAGCGCTGTGGTGTCAGCCTAGCTCACAGCAACCTCAAACTCCTGAGCTCAAGCAATCCTCTGCCTCAGCCTCCCGAGTAGCAGGGATTATAGGCATACATCACCATGCCCGGCTAATTTTTTCTATATATTTTTAGTTGTCCAGCTAATTTCTTTCTTTTTTAGTAGAGGCAGGGTCTTACTCTTGGTCAGGCTGGTCTTAAACTCCTGACCTCAAGCAATCCTCCCTCCTCAGCCTCCCAGAGTGCTAGGATTACAGGCGTGAGCCACCATGCCTGGCCAAAGCAAACATTTTTGACAATAGTTTTGTGGGTTAAGACAGCTTGAAAAAAATAAATTTCCTGGAAGGACATGTCTAAATATGTTATCACTCAGAAAATTAGGGAAAAATCTACCAGTTCTTTCCCCAAAACAATAATGTTCTCTAATTATACAGCCACTTTTTCATACTGTCTCATTTGATAGTCATTAAGAGCAATGCAGTCTTGCAGATAAGATATTAATTCCCATTTTACCTATATAGAAATTAGAGAAGAGAAAGGAAAGTTGACTCCTCACTACCAACCCAGGCCTGCTCTACTATCTCCAGGCATGGATCCCCAGATTACCTCTGCCTCCTCGTGGTGCTCAATGAGGGCTTGTGGAGGAAGGCTGTGTAAATTGCAAAGCTTGGACTTCACCATGATGGGAACATAGCCAAGAGACTGCTTAATGCTTCCTCTTGGGATTCCATTTACTGCCCAGCTGATATCAACCTAAATGAAAAGGAAAGAAAAAAATTACTTAAAGAATATATTTGAACCTGCAAGAACAAATGAGTATTTTTTAAAGAGTGAGGAAGAAGACCATACTAAATGATTTTATGCTTAGATGATAGTACTAAGAAAGTAGAATTCTGGTATAAACTTTTAGGCTGCAGCTGTAGTCTCAAAAACAAGCAGTATAAGAGTCACATACACATAGCACATAGTCTCTTGTACTCACTGTCAACTTCCCACGGTAGGTACTCCTTCGGCCCCGGCATTCTGCTGGGTAAACATTGAGCTCTTTGCAGATGGTCCCTTTTGGAACTGTGGGCGGACTAATAACAGCATCCACAATAGTAATAGAGATACGCTCATCTTTGAAAGCAAATTCAAAGGGAGGTATAGCCTGAAATACAATTCATGATAATAAATTGCTTGCATTTCCAAGGCACTTTTTCTCTAAGATTCTTCCAAATCCCATGTGTTCCATAAACATTGATGCCTATAATGCCAATGTGGCACATCTAAAAAAGACAGTTAAAGCTACATGCAAGTCTACTCATAACTTCACTAAGTACTTAAAACTATAATGCGTTAGCTTATGATTTTTTTGAGTGCCCAGTATGTGTCAGATTCTGTAGCAGGCTCTAGGGATACAGCTGTGAACAGAACAAAGCTCCTGCTCTCTGAACCTAATGCCTACCTTGTCTATTCTTATCTTGTCTATGTTCACAGCAACACAAATGGGACTGCTGCTAATAAGGCAAGGATATGGAAACATCCTCTTGATTTAGTACTGGACACCTTAACAGCATTCTTTAGGTTGATATTTGTACATTTCATTTCCATGGTGGCCTCACACTGAAGCCGGAGCCATGCAAAAGGTAACCAAGGTTAAGTTTTCCCTTCCACAGCAGTTGCTTCTCTGCATCACCTCTGGGGGGGAGCTTTGCTTTTCTGAGGAAGGGGCACCCCTGAACTATGAACAGTCTCCTGGTCTTAGTGTTAGAATAATGAGAATGCCAAAAATGGTGCCACAAAAGAATACCAAAAAGGCTCTCCACCCTCATGTGAGTTCAACTGACCTTTTCTAAATTTTTTAATTTAATCCAAAGCTGGAATTATTTTAGGATTTAATATTTTATTTAAAAATAAAATTTATATTTCATGTTTAAGGATGGAGCATTAAAAAGAAGGAGAACAAAAGATTCACTTTCTCAAACCAAAGCTGTACTGCCCAAACCTAAATATAGTTGACGCTCATTATTCACAACAGTTATGTATGTTCTGTAAAACTGCCATAAACACTGAATTAGCAAATACTGAACCACTGCTCCTAGGGGAACAAGGTTAGGTTCTCTCGAGCCTATTTAAGGACACCTCTAATATGTATTGTTGAGTCATTAACACTGAATTCTTAGCCAACAGCACTAACTCATGCCTGAACAAACCTTATATAAGGTGTGTATTTTCTCCATGAGCCTTCTTTCTTAGGAACACTACATAGCACTTTAATACTATGCTTGAGGGACATTTTAAATCTCAAAATCACCAACAAAAACCACAAAACGTGGCACTAAAACAGATAGCAGAAAAGAGCCTTGTTTGCAGTCTGAGAACTTGAAGAAACAAGGAAGGAGAGCATTCACCTTATTGGCCCTCAGCTGGGAATATGCACGATGGGCGATGCAAATTTTGCACCGTTCTCAGCATGTTGACAAGCACTGATTTTGAGGTTGCAAGTAAATTCTTAGCAAGTAGATGAACCTACAAATATGGAATGCCTAAACAATGAAAATCAATTGTATTCTGAAATGATTAACATGATAGACATAAATCTTGATTCACAGAATGAAGGAATCTACTCCAAAGAAACCAAACAAAACCTATGTTCAAGACTTTCAAGTGCTATAAAAAGGCGTGTGCATTGTGAATGGTTGGGAAACACACCCCAAACGGGCCACTTCCTCACTCACAGCACCCAGAAACTCACTGTCCTACCAAAAATCTATGTTTCGCAAGCATTTATCAATCCAGAAATCACGAATGCATCCTTCCCCTGATATAGACTAGACCACAAGTCCAACGAGGCCAAGCCCCGCGTCCTGTTCAACAAGTGTTTCTGTCTCGCGTACGTTCTGAGCCTGGCGCGATCAAGGAGCACGAGTACTGGGGGTCGTGCTGTGGCCTCCCAGCCACCTCTCTGGGTCCCTGTCCCCCGTCCGTGCCCCACGCGGCCGAGACTTCACCCCCGCCCCCCGTCCTCCAGCCTCGCCGGGCCCCTGTCCTCCGCCCGCCCAGAGCCTGGCCTCGCCGCGAAAGCCGCGCGGGCGGACGCACAGCTGCCTGCAGCCCAGGAGGACGCCGCGCTCACCTGCACCGCGTGGCCGAGCCCCTCGCGCACAGCGTAGTTGAAAGACTCCACGTGCGCCCGCGTCAGCTCCTGCAACGCTGCCTTTTGCTGCTCCCGCGGGACCCCGTAAGAGGGGTCGGTCAAGTGCTTTAGGCTAGGCCCGCTGGGCAGGTTCCGCCACCGGCCCTCCGGATCCATGCTGCCGCCTGCACACGGACGCCAGCGGCCAGCAGCGCCGCGCGCACCGGGAGGAATGGCCGGGTTCCGGCGCCCGTGGCCTGCTGGGAAATGCAGTTCCCTCTTGTTCCGCCCGCCCCTGGCCCTGCGGCTTTATAGGGCCGACTTGGAACCGAAACCGTAGCGTGAATGGGCCGGCTAAAACCCTACCGAGGCAGAGCGTTGCGGGCCGTCCCCATCTCTGCCACCCGACCCCTGTCTCTCCTCCGCGAAAGACCGTGCACGTGGGAGCTGGCCCCACGCTTGGTTCGGCGTGTGACTACCTGGGCTCTCGTTCGCTCAACTGGGATTGGACTACCTGGGCTCTCGTTCGCTCAACTGGGATTGGACGAGGGCGTTCTTCACAGGCTCCCTTCTAATCCCCTTGACTGCTTTCCGACCCGATGCTGACGCCGACCGTGGGGAGACACCTGCCGGAGTCGTGGCTTCAGCGAGAAAGCAGATGTTGCTGTGCCCAGGCTGACTGTTCTCTGTACCCAACTCTTAACTCGTGAAGGCCGGTCACCGGGACAGCAAGCAGCGGTCGGCCCACGCTAACCTCCTCCTCCGCGACTTCTGCCCTGGTTCCTGAGCCGGGAGGGGTGGGGGAGGGCGGCGTCCGCGTGGACTTACACCCTTAAAATCCTCTGAATCTCTATGAATCACTTAACCTCTCAGAATACTGATTATTCAGAGAATGCCTGCTGATGTCTTTCAACTTCGTGTGTATGTATGTAACAGCTGTATCGCGATGCAATTGGCATACAATAAACTCACACATTTTAAGTGTACGCATTAAGTTTTGACCCGTGCAGCCATCACCACGAGTTAAGACAATTAATTAATCCACCAATCCCTAACGTGTCCTCCTGCCCCTTTGAAATCCCTCCTAATTGTCCACTTCATCTTTTCCTAGTGCAGCTGGTAATTTTCACACTTATATTACTTTTTTAGAAAAGTGATCTTCTGTGTCTGTTTTATCTTTAAATCACCAAATCTACCAAGGTGTGTACAGCTGCCTTCCCTCCTTTTACAATGTCTCTGCCTCTTCTAAGGAACGCTCTTCCTTAATTCCCTCTCCCCTAGTCAAGGACTCCTAGAAGGCAGGAGAATAAAGGGATTATTGCAGATGCAATAATTTACATCAGCATACAACCCTGCTGCAACAGCTCTTAAAACAACTCACTGATCCTTTGTCCCTTTTCGGGCCACCATATATTTCTTTGCTCCCCTTTAGACCATATATCTTAAGAGGACTGGCCATCTTCATCGTCTCGCCTCTGTTTTCAAGGTTCATCCATGTTGTAGCTTGTATCAGTACTTCACTCCCTTCATGGCTGAATAATTAACTATTGTGTGAACATAACACATTTTGTTTATCCATTCACAAGTTGATGGGCAATTGGGTTGTTTCCATTTTTGGTTAATATGAATATTGCTGCTGTGAATACCCAAGCACAGGTTTTTGTATGGACATGTTTTCAATTCTCTTAGGTATTATAGCTAGGAATGGACATTTCTGGGTCATATGTTTAACTTTTTGAGGTACTGTGAAACTGTTTCCCAAAGAAGCTGTACAATTTTACATCCAATACTTATTACTGGCAATCTACAAAGATCCCAAATTCTCTATATCATTACTTGTACTTGTTATTGTCTGGTTTTTATTATGGCCATCTTAGTATATATGCAGTAGTATCTAATTGTGGTTTTGATCTGCATTTCCCTAATGACTAGTGATGCCAAGCATCTTTTCATGTCTTTATCAATCACTTGTATATTTTCTTTAGACAAATGACTGTTTAGATATATTGCCCGTTTTAAAATTGGGTTGTCTTTTTATGGTCAAACTGTTATAGTTCTTTATATAGGTTATACTAGTCTGTGTCAGATATATGATTTGCAAATATTTTCTCCATTCTGTGAGTTGTCTTTTTGCTTTCTTTGTGATGTACTTTGAAGGAAACAAGTTTTTAATTTTGATGAAATACAGTTTTTTTCTTTTGCTGTCTGTGCTTTTTGGTATCACATCTAGGAAAGCATTGCCTAATCCAAGGTCATGAGGCTTTACACCTATGTTTTCTACTAAGAGTTTTGTAGTTTCAATTCTTATACTTAAGTCTTTGACCCACTTTGAGTCAATTTTTGTATATGTTGTAAAGTCATTTCTTTGTTTGTGGATATTCAGTTGTCCTAACACCATATGTTGAAAAGACTACTCTTTCTTCCATCGAATTGTCTTAGCTCCATTGTCAAAAATCAAGTGACCATAGATGCAAGAGTTTATTTTTGGGTTCTCAAATCTATTTCTTTGATCTATATGTCTATCCTTATGCCAATATCACGCAGTCCTGATTAATATAGGTTTGTAATAAGTTTTGAAATCAGGAAGTGTACTTCCTCCAACTTTGCTCTTCTTTCTCCAGATTGCTTTGCTATTCCTGGTCCTTTATTTTTCCATATGAATTTTAAAGTCAGCTTGTCAATTTCTGCAACAAAAAGGCAGCTGAGATGTTTGACAGGGATTGTGTTCAATCTGTAGATCAATTTGGGGCCTATTTTTATTTTAACAATAGTTGTCTTTCAAACCATGAACAAGGGGTCACCGATCATTCATTTAGTTCTTTAATTTCTTTCAAAAATGTTTTGCAGTTTTTGGTGTACAAATGAACATTTGTTATGTATTACTATGTATTTAATTCTTTTTGGTGCTGACATAAATGGAATTATTTTCTTAATTTCATTTCAAATTGTTCATTTATAGTATATAGAAATACAACTCAGTTTTGTATATTGATCTTGTATCTGGCAACCTTGCTGAATTCATTCATTAGATCAAATAGATTTTGTGGATTCCTTAGGATTTTCTATATATAGGATTTTATCATCTGCAAAGAGAGATAGTTATACTTCTTCCTTTCCAATCTGGTTGCCCACCCTCCCTTTCTTCCTTCATTCCTTTAATCCTTTAATATAATTGCTTTGTCCAGAACATTTAGTACAACGTTGAAGTGGCAAGAATGAATATCCTTGTTTTGTGCCTGATACAAAGGAGACAGCTTTAGCCTTATTAAATATGATGTAGGCTGTGGCTTTTCCCAAAGATACCCTTTATCATGTGGAGGAAATATTCTATTCCTAGTTTGCTGAGTGTTTTTATCAAGAAAGTATTGTGTATTGTCAAAGCTTTTTCTGGGTCTATTGATATGATTATGTAGTTTTTATCCTTTTTTCTATTAAAATGGTATATAACATTGATTGAATTTTGTAAGTTGAACAAACTGTATTCTTCAAATAAATCCTATTTGGTCATAGTGTATCATCCTTTTTATGTGTTACTGGATTTGGTTTGCCAGTATTTTGATTTTTGCCATGTATATTCCTAAGAGATATTGGTTTATTGTTTTTCTTGTCTTTGTCCAATTTTGGTATCAGAGTATTAATAGTGACACAGTTAATTTCCAGACAGTTTTGCAAGTGTTTTCATTGCTTTTATAGAAGAGGGGATTTTCAGAGGCTCTTTCTCTGCTATTCCCACCGATGTCCTCTCATGTGAATTTTTTTTTTTTTTTTTTTTGAGACAGAGTCTCACTTTGTTGCCCAGGCTAGAGTGAGTGCCGTGGCATCAGCCTGGCTCACAGCAACCTCAATCTCCTGGGCTCAAGCGATCCTGCTGCCTCAGCCTCCCGAGTAGCTGGGACTACAGGCATGCGCCACCATGCCCGGCTAATTTTTTTTTTTTTTTGTATATATATTTTTAGTTGGTCAATTAATTTCTTTCTATTTTTGGTAGAGACGGGGTCTCGCTCAGGCTGGTTTCGAACTCCTGACCTTGAGCGATCCGCCCGCCTCGGCCTCCCAAAGTGCTAGGATTACAGGCGTGAGCCACCGCGCCCGGCCTCATGTGAATTTTTAAAAGGAATTTTTGTTGCAGAAATCTTCAAGTTGTCCTATGAAATGTTGTATGGGACAGGGACTCATTTAGGAATTGCTATGGTTTGAATGTGTCCCCCAAAGTAAATGTGTTGGAAACTTAGTCCGCAAGGCAACCGAATGGAGAGGTGGGACGTTTAAGAGGTGATTAAATCATGAGGGCTCTGCCCTCATGAATGGATTAATGATGTTATCATTGTTGCAGAAGTGGGTTGGTTATCTCAGAAGTAGTTTACTGATAAAAGGATGAGTTCCAGCCCCTTTCCTCTCTTACCATGTGTCTTCCTGCCATGCAATGATGCAGCAAGAAGGCCCTCACCAGATGTAGCCCCTCAATCTAGGATTTAACCATCCTTCAGAACCGTGAGCCGAATAAGTTTATTTTCTTTATAAATTACCCAGTCTGTGGTATTCTGTTATAGCAGCACAAAATGGACAAAGACAGGGATACTTTCAGGAAAACCTCTGGGGTCATGGGAGAACCTTAGATTCTTTAAGAAGGGACAGCTGCTGATGGCAAATGGGACCAGCATCTAAAAGAAGTCCTCCAAAACCTTTGTAGCTGCACACCCAGGCTCCTAAGTAGCTGCCTGCCTGGGTCCATGTCTGTTTATTCCCTGCACTCTGTCCATGCAATCTCTTCTGAGTCTATTGAGAGTGTGTCATGTTGCATCTGAAACTTGTTTGGTGTGGGATGCCCATGCCAGGGTTTCTGTCATGGAAGACATTCTTCTGTGCCAGAAGAATATATTTATGATGTGGAAGAAGCCATGGAAGGCAGGCCAGCCATACATGGGAAAGAGGCCCAAAGCCTTCAGCCTTACCGTACAAGAAGTTACAAGGTGATGACAGTTTGCGTAAATCAAGCTCTTTCTATCTGTAAGTCCTTAGGCTTTGTGAGGTTTATAGATATTTATAGACCTGGCCTTAGTGAAATACGTAGTAAGAACTTCTTGGCCATCTGGCTAATTATGAAAGTAGCCTCATTTCAGAAGCCCCTCTACCTCTGCCCCATGTCTGAACACATAAAACTCTCCTTCACACCATGGGTCATACTTCACAATTTCCATCAGAATGCAGACCATATATAAGATGTGAGAAACAATGGGCTAGATTTTGGCAGCTGAAATTATATCAATGCTTCACCCTAGAGCTCATCAGTTTTGCAGGACAACCTGTTGGTTTATGTATTGGGTAATGTCCTGGGGCCAGCAAACTATGGCCACAGCTGGCCTACTGTTGTATGGCCTATAAGCTTAGAATAGCTTTGGTATTTTTAAAGAGTTGGGGGCAAAAACAAAAAATATGCAACAGAGACCCTACATGGCTTACAAAGCTGGTCGATTTCCTATCTCCCTACCCCCGGGTAATGAGATCATGGATTTAAACAACCAGAGATATCCCAGGACAGTCAACACCCACAATAAGATGACAGAACCAAAGGGGACAAAAACACTTGAAATATCATTACTTTACTTTAATGCTCCAGGCATATTAAACATTCATAAAATTGCTGTATTTCAGAAGTCATTTCCTCTTCAGTACAGATTCTGTATCCAGGATCAGAGACATGTATATCACTGAATTTTCTCTACAGCACCCACATGCTACACAGAACCCACTCTGGCGCCCTGTTTTTGCTAGTAGAGCCCCTCACCACACCCACTACAGGTCTGGATCGCCCCAGCTTGACACAACCTCAACTGCTAATGAAACATGCTTCGTAGCTTCACTGCCACCTGCTGGTTCTGTCGATCCCAGTGCATTTCCGGCACTCCCAGATGTTCCATGTGTGTATATAATAGTAACCATCCTGAAGAGCTAGTGAAACATGGTGTCAGCTGGTAAGTTCGCCAGCACCTGCTCCACTAAATCAGACAACACTGAGGCACTTAAATGTTCTTGGTAAAACGGATTTATAATTGCCATAGGAATGAGGGAAGGGGCTTTTCTCTCAATAATTGATTAATAAACTTAATACATTTTTAGCAGATTTATAATTTCATATCTGTTTACATTTGTTGTCAAAGCTTCATAAACTGTTTATGTAAATGAAAGCATGTTGGGGTTGCCAAATGCTGGGATGAGAAGCAAATAGAGAACCTGCCTAGATCACACTTGCTTGTTCCACGAATATATATGTCAACATCTGGTGATTCTTAACAAAATGACTGTGTTTCCAAAAAGGATTTTTTAAAAGCCATAAGCTGTATGCAGTTCTTCCAAGGTAATAATGTGTTTTTCATTCTTTCTCAAGCTATGGTTCAAGGCATCTTAAGACAGATTGCTGTCTGAGGTCCTGATTTAACTGGCCAGTGGTGGGGAGAGGGGAAAAGTATGGGCAGCATTTTTTAAAAGCTTCACAAGTGATTCCAGCATGTAGTCAGTATTGAGAATCTTGGTATTAAAGGCTCTTGAGTCTTCTCTTTTCTTTTGGTCTTTCGTTTTTGTCTTCTTCCTAGAACTAATACAGGAGCACTCACTCTCATTTACCCTCAGTAAAAGCCCCTGAGGTAGTCCCCGGGTCAGGCAATGATCTCTTCCATGAGCTAAGAAACTAAGGCACAGAGAGGTTAACGAGTTCATCTGCTACTGTGCAGTCGAATGACAGAGCCGAGATTGGAATTAGCATTTCCAAATAAATAATGCCTCCTTCTCCAGCAGCTGGCAGCACTTCCATGCTTCCACTGAAAGTGTGAAGCCTGACAGGGAGCCAGGCATGGCCATCTGTGCCAAGGACACCATAGGAAGGTATAGAAGAGTTCTGAGCCAACCATCCCACCTAATCAGAAATAAATGTGTAAAGCCAGGTGCAGTGGCTCATGCCTATAGTCCCAGCTACTGGGGAGGCTGAGGTTGGAGGATCACTTGAGCCCAGGAGTTCAAGGCTGCAGTGAATTATGATCTCAGCTGTGAATAGTCACTATACTTCAGCCTGGGTGACAAAGCAAGAACTCATCTTTAAAAGGAAAAAAGAAATAAATAAAAAGAAATAAAATTAAAAAATAAACAAAAATATTTTAAATAAGAAATATGTGTAAAAAATAGTTATTTGAAGTCCCATGAGGAATGAAGTGTAACTTTTTGTTTTTTTCTAAAGTCTTACTCCCTCACATATATGCTATTGATTCAGGTTTCTTAGGAAATCCATCAAGATTCATAGGCTTCCTAACATCTGGATCCTTAGCTCTGTCACTATAAAGGTTAGAAAACTTTTGAATGTCCCTGTAATTTGGGTCCAAAAGATGATTACAAATCTGTGTTAGCATGTGACGCCATTACAAAGAAGTCCATGCTTTCCCGTTGCCAGCCCACTCAGCCTTGCCAAGGACCCAGTACCCCACACTTTCTAAATGGGCACGCATCTTCCCATGATCTGATCAGACCTCATTCCCTTCTCAGAAGTTTCAAAACACTAACCCATCAACTGTGTTGGGCCTCCAGGATTCACAATTACCAATGACTGTTTTATTTTGCTCTAGATGTAAACTTTTAAAAATCCGTATTCTGGGCAACCACCAGGACTTTTATTTTGTAATTCCAAATTCCCATGAGAACCAACCTAGTTGGGTCCTTCTCCACTTAACCCCAAGGCAACACCCTCACATCCTATCACCCATTGCTGCACCCATTAAATAATGTCTATCATTACCCCTCTCCTCACTGTAAGCTCTCACATTATCATCATGTTCAAGGAAGTATTGCTTTTCCTTCTTTTTTGTGAAAGTCTCACCTGACTGCAGAGATGTTTTCTAGTGCCAAGGAGAAACGAATAATGGAGCACACATATGCACAGAGAAAGAATCACCATGTTCTGGGATGGAGTGCAGTTGTCAACGGGTCTGCTGTGATTTCCGGGAGACTATAAGAAGGACCTGTTTACTCAGTTTGCATCAAACACAAATGACATCTTGTTCTTCCCATTACTAGTAAGGTGGTCTCCTGAAAAGCCTACAAAGTATATTAGTCCATCCAGTACATGGAAGCCACATGGCACAGTACACGTTTGTTGGGACTCACAAGACACTGCATGGAACTCCAAAACCACTTCTCTCCCATTTTAGAAGACTCTTCCATGTAGGCACGACATACATACACTCTCCTGACACCTGCAGGTACAGGCAGGCACAGAACCCTTCCTGGAACAAAACCTGCCCCTCCACTCCTGCAGAAGGTGCTTGGAGCACAAGGAGAACAAAAAGGGGGCAAGCTACCTGTGTCTGGGGCAGGGCCACTTGAAGGGGCTAGGGAATGGAGATTGGAATTCTCCTTTCTCCTGACTCCCAGAAAAGTTTTCTACAAAATTAAAAAAAAAAAAAAAAGTCAAGGGAAATTCGCAAAGCTGCATTTAGAATTCTGGTTAAAACAAAGATAATTGAGAATCATCATATTTTCAAAGACCCACCACACCCAACCTATTTAAGTAAAGCAAGATATGGTTTTTTTTTCTCTCTCATGCTATTTGATGCTTACAGGTTCAGGGCAGACTTGCCACTCTTGTTTCTAAAACATGCAGAGAGCAGACCTAGAGCAGCAGTTTGCCATATTGGGGCCTGACCCACACGAACCCTGACAGGCGACTGACCACACGCCATCAGGAAGGTGAGGAGGAAAACCGCCTTTGCCGAGAGGCTGGTGCGCAGCACGAAACTAAGGACTGTTGGTGCATGCTTGTCCAGAGTTTAGGGGGCAGACTGTCGTGAAGGACGAGTGGGGAACACACGGGCAACCTCCAAGATGCTCTGATGTCCACTCCATGTCCCAGAACAGCGGGGCTGCGGCGGGCACGGAGCTAAGGCACTAGGGCTGTAGCAGGTGGGGGCACCGACCAGAGGTCCTGGCGGCCTGCGATCCCCAGGGAGTGGGGAGGGGGTTTTGCTCCCAAGGCTGCCTTTGGGTACCTAGGTTGTTTTAAGGGATGAGAACATAAAATAACCAAATCCCTGGTTTTTTCCCCTTAGAAGAATATGTTGCTCTCCCCTCAGAGACATTTTCTTCAGTTTTCAGAAGTCTCAGCAGCATTGTTGAGAGCTCCACCTGGGTCACTCCCCGAGCACCCCGCTTTCCGGGAGTCACCTCCTCTGCTCACACGCTCTGTTCCGTCCCATCTTTGCGAGTTGCCTTTCTTCCCCCTCGCTTTGGCTTGATAACGAGCGATCCAGTCACTTCACTGTCCCCCGGAGCAGGACCCTGGGCTTTTTCCAAGGCAGCTCTGAGCACCCCTCTGTCACAGTTTGATGAAGGCGGCTGGTGGGGCCTGCGGCGGTTCCACATCTGGGGGTGGGAAGACACTGGATATGGCTATGTCCACGATGCCCTGGCACAGTTCTGCATAAAGCTTCCTGAAATGTGTTGTTAAAAATATCACTGAGGATGTTCATCAAAGTACAAGCAAAGAAAATGCTTAAGTTTTATTATTAGTTTTTTTTTTAACCAAGATCTGCCCTAGAAATTCCATCTCATGACCACATTTATAAACGAGTCGCCACTATACATACAAATACTGCAGAAGGCACTGCATGAGTTAAAGTATTCCTTCAATAAGTATTTATGGAAGGCCTTGTAGGTGAACAAGACAGACAACTGTTGCTCTGACCAGCAAGGAAGACAGGCAATTTCAAGAGTGAGTGAGAACGATCTTGCCTGTCTGTGATAAGGGACAGACAGACACACACACACACACACACACACACACACAGGCCCTTTTGATGAGTTAATTTCATGGCAATTAGTGCAATGAAGGAAACTACTAAGCCTCTGGCTAGAGAAAATCAGAGATGGGATTGCTCAGGGAAGGTTTCCTGGAGATGGCATTGTGGTGAATGAGGAGCCAGCCATGGTGAGCCTGGTGGTGATGGTGGTGGGGACTCCACACAGAGGTGACAGCAGACACAAAGGCTCCATGGCAGCCTGGGGTGAAGCTGGAGAGGCAGGCGGGCTGTGGCCTGGCAGGTGGAGAGAGGGGTCTGTCCAAGGTGCAATGGGAAGCACGGAGAACAGCGTGCTCTGTTTTTCTTTTATCACTCTGGCTTCTCTGGGAGGATAGATCTTACCACGGTAAGAGCAGAATTAGTGACCCCAGTTAGGACGCTCTTTGCAGAAGCCTCTGCCACGATGGAAGACGGCTTGTGCGAGGCAACGGCAGTGGGAGTGGAGGACTGAGGAGGCACAAGCCACAGGGCCTGAGGGTGAGAGAGGCGGGAGGCAGGGCCTTCTTGGGGCAAGTCTGGGAGGGGGAGGGGGAGGGGGATGCTGTCAGACATCCAGACATCACGGCAAGGAAGGCAGGTGCAGACACAGGTCTTTATGGCTGGGCTGTGAGGTAATTTGGTGGTTTTAAGCCCATGAAGTTGAATGAGATCATGCAGAGAGAGAGCACAGCAGGGAGAGGAGACGGACACCCAGTGCTGGGACCTGAGGTACCTGATGAGGATGCGGAGCCCCACTTGCCTGCACATCCCTAGGCAAGCCTGCCCAGCACCCAGCGTGCCTGCAGCTGCCACAACAGCGCAGCTCAACACGTGGTGGCCAGCTGTCTGGAGTGCTGCCAACAGGTCCAGGGGAGTGGGGACAGAACAAGGCTGCTGGACTTGGCAATGTGGACTTGGCTGGGGCCCTTCCAAGAGCAGTTTCTACAGAGTGGTCAGGATGGAAGCAGCATAGAGGGAGAAAGGTGGCAAAGTAATTGAGCAAGGCAGGAGGACAGACGGGGGAAGGTCTAGACTAGAGTTATCATGGAAGGACATTCTGTGAGAGAAAGGACAGCAGGAGAGAGACTGGGCACACCACTGTTGATTGGTGAAGGAAGATGCAAAGCCCTGCCTGCCTCCGCTCTCAGCCTACCTAACTCACTTTCCACCTTCAGTTCTCAGTGCCAAGATCACTCCCAGTGGGGGCCTTTTGCTTGATTATGTTACTTTTCAGCATCCTTTGCTCCCTGTCAAAGGACTTGCCTGGTCCTTTGTTTCGCTCACAGTCTCTCTCTACTGAGGGTAGGTCCCATGTTTCTCTTTGCTCCCCACTGTGAACCCACGGCCTGGGACACAGCCTGGCTGGGTGCCAGCTGCAAGGGCTGACAAATGAATTGGAATCACACCTGTTGCAGCCATCACACAAGTGGCAAAGGCCCAGCTCCTAACCAAAGAGCAGCTTGTGTGTTCAGGATGGTCCCTTGCAGGTCAGGACTTTCTCCTAAGCCTTTGAAAAGTTACCTCAACTTCTTAGTTTCTCCAAGATGTAGATGGGAACCATGAAAGGGTCTTGACATGATGAAAGTTGATCTTCAGAAGAATGAAGAGGATAAGCGGATTGAGTCCAAATGGCTTTGTGTTACACTTAAGGCCTTTCACAGAAGGTCTGACTTACCTTCTTACCTTCATCTTTCATTACACCATGACAGTAATACCACCATAGCCAGGCACCTTCCCAGGAGGGACAGAAGCTCCCCAAAGACAGGTTCTCAGGGAGCTTCTATTCCTCTGTGCATCTCCCAGACATGCACAGGGCAAGGTCCCAGTGGGCACTGCGCCCCTTTCTGGAGGCTTTCCCCTCCTCCCTTTGGTGCATCTCACCCTCTTCCCTGGCATCCCAGCTCCAGCTCCACTGTGTCTATGATGCCTCCCAGACTCCTTCCTGCCCGGGGAGCCCCTTGACTTCTGGGTCATCCCTGTTTCCCCACTCACAGGATCTTACTCACTCAATTTGTCACATGAAAGGGTCTCTCTGGCAGTTATTAGCTTTGTTTGAAACTCTCACAGCATCTACCACCTGCCTGAGCGTGGGCCAACTGCTCAAACACAGGGGGAAAATGGAAAGGAAATGACTTGGCAAAGCCCCCCTGCCACACAGCTCCTCCTGAAGGACTCTATCGCTGTGCCATCCTCCCTGATAGCAGTCAAGGGGCTATGCTTGCACCCTTCAGGACTGGGAGCTCACCACCTTACCAAGACGCTTTTCCAACTGCTGAACCAACTTCCCACGTGTTAAAGCACAATGGCATTGAGGCTTACTGAGCACAAGCAGGGGCGCCGTTGACTTCAATGAGCCAGACCTTTAGCTCCTCATCCACCATGAAGTCGAAGCCGAAGAGCTGGAAGCTCTGGTAAGGGAGGTGCTTGGTGCTGATGGCAGGCTCCACGCTCAGGAGGCAGCTCCTGCAGGGCAGGAGGGGAGAACTTGCTGAGAATGGGGTGGTCAAGGGAGAAGGAGTACATGAGACGTGCCTAGAAGATTTTATATCAAATGTGTCCAAAAATCAGCTTTGACTTAATTCTCTCATTTCGATTTATTATCAATAAATTATTCATGAGAATGCTACTTATCAAGCATTTATTGGAAACCTCTGCAACCACTCATGTTCTTCCAGGCTGTTCTCCCTGGCCTCGAGAAGCAGCACAGCACTGAGTTGCCGTGGCCTCTACAAATGAAATTCCTCCGACAGGCGGGCAGCTGCTGTGTTTGTTTATAATAAATACAACATTTCTCTGTATTTTTGCCATGCAACAAATGGACTATCATTTGGTGAAGGGCAGAATTTGCAAAACGAATGGTGGCCTCATTAATTTCTTTCACTAGCTCCAGTTGTAATGCCAAATCATTGCTGATTAAAAGACCATACATGTTGAAGCTAAATATGGAAATATGGAATAGAATTATTATTAGCATCAACTACAGTTTAAAAAAATTAGGGGATTGTAGTGATACAGAAAAAAAAGCTGAATCTTGGAAACATAATGAAAAAGTACATGAAGACAGTCTGAGGTCAGGCTAGAATCTCAGACAAGTTTTTTAACTTCTCTAAGTCAAATTTTGACTTTTTTACCTATAAAGTAAAAATAGTATCTACTCCAATTGCTGAGATTGTTCAATAAGATAATTACAAATGGTTCTTAGCATAACTTCTGGTACCAAGGAAGCATTTAATAAATGTTACTCTTGTGAACAAGCATATTTCATTAATTATAATTATTAAAATCTCTTATTTATGAATAATAAAAACCCGTTACCTAGTACAACCATTCCAGAAAGCCTATGCCATTTCTGTCGTATGAAGATCTTCCTTGATTTTCCCCTCAACTGAACGTTGGGGCACAATGTTTATCTTAGTAAATAAAATGTGTTACGATGACTCTGGGATTACCAGAGATAACTGTCCTTCTACACAGCTGTATATTCAGAAGGAAAAAGATGTAGGGTACTGGCTGCTATGTGACTAACTCTAAGATGTACCTCTATAGGTAGGTTTTGACTCATGACTTTAAAAAAGAACTAAGGGCTCTGTGAACTTAGAGCCGGGGTCTTGCTCTCCTTGCTCTCCTCCTTTCCCACTCCTCCTAGCCCCCACAAACTTCAATCTCCTTTTCTTTTTCCTCCCAAAAGAAAAATATTTTTATAGCTATGTTTAAAACTTTAAAAACAATTTAGCACAGATAAGCCATTTAGGAACTAATTATAATAAAAATTTCTTCTCCCATTAATCTTTAACCTGCATTGATTGACAAGTCACATGCCACATTAAAAAAATCTCTATTCTATGAAAGAATACCCTTAAGTTTTATTTTAATTGAAATATTCTTCAAAATATAATTAAGAAAAGTTTAATAGATACTAATAGTAAAAAAAAAAGAGCGAGAGAGAAAGATACTAAAGGATAAACAGTCAAAGAAGCATTATGCTCTGACACATAAAAGAAAAACCGAGAACCAGAACCAATTTAAAACTAAATAAATATTGTATTTTTTTCTGCTAAAAGCTCAAGATTAATATTCGCTTTAAAGAATTTTTTTCATCATCAGAACCTTATACAGTGTATCTTTTTTTGGCTGGAGTGGGAAGTTAGGGGGAGGCTAGCTGGAAAAAAAGAAAACATGAGAGCTGGGAGGAATATTTATAGCACCAAAGCAGCAACACTCTCTGAACTGTGCAGAACAATGTGGAGGGGGCGTAGCAAATTTCCAATAAACCTTTTACCTAAAATAGGATTCCTTCTTCAGCACACTTGATTTATCTGGTGTGAGAATTCTAACCACCTATAAATCCCTAAAGAAATGGGACTTCAATCCCTTTATTCTGCTGGGCTCTGTGTAAGAATACTTTAAGGAACAAGTCTCAGTCATCCAGACAGAGTAGCGACAATACAGTGGATAAACAGATTAATGGTGCAGAACAGGGATCACAGGAACAGACCTGCCCATGAACCGCCACATGATTGACAACAAAGGCACACCCCATGCAGTGGGGAAAGGACAGTCTTATGCACAAATGGCCCTGAGTCAATGGGATATCCATGTGGAAAAACATGAAATGTCACATATAACAATTCCAGATAGGCCTACATATAAGAGATAAAACCTAGACAGGTATCAATGATAGAAGGGATAAACTGTAAAATATTCACACAGTGGAATATTACACAGCAATACAAAGGATAAATGACAGCTACGTGCAAGAATATGGATGAACGCTACAGATACAACATTGAAAGAAGTTGAACACAAAATAGGAAATACATTTACATAAAGTTTGAGAACAAGCAAAAGGAATCTATGGTAATAAAAGTCAGCAAAGAGGCTGTCTGTGGCAGGGAATATATATTCCCTGAGTTTAAAGGGAGTTTAAAGGAGTCTCTTGGGGTGCTATAAGTGTTTTATATCTTTATTTGTATCATGGTTAGGTAAGTATATTCATCATTAAAAGCTCACTAAACTGTATACTTTATGCATGGTATACTTTATTTAAAAAAATCTCTACTTGACTTAATAAGCTCTAATAAATGAACACTAACACTAAAAAATTATCTTCAGGCATTGTTAAGAAATAGGACCAAGAGAAAAAAACAGATAATAAAAACAGACCTAAAAGCCAGGGGTTGTCAAACCTTTTCTATAAAGGGCCAGATAGTAAATATTTTAAATTTTACAGGCTATATACAGCTTCTGTTGCATATTCTTCTTTTTTACTATATATATATATATATTTTTTTTTTCTTTTTTGAGACAGAGTCTCACTCTCCTGCCCGGGCTAGAGTGCGTGGTGTTGGCCTAGCTCACAGCAACCTCAAATTCTTGGGCTCAAGCAATCCTCCTGCCTCAGCCTCCCGAGTAGCTGGGACTACAGACCTGCACCACCATGGCCCACTGATTTTTTCTATTTTTAGTAGAGACGGGGTCTCCCTCTTGCTTAGGCTGGTCTTAAACTCCTGACCTCAAGCAATTCTCCTGCTCGGCCTCCCAGAGTGCCAGGATTATAGGTGTGAGTCACTGCACCTGGCTGCATATTCTTTTTTAAAAAATTTAAAAACTTAGGGTTGGGTGGGGAAAAAAAATAAAAACAAAAAAATAAAACACTATTCTAGGCTTATAGACCTTATAAAAATAGGCTGTAGGCCAGATTTGGCCCATAGGGCATGGTTTGCTGGTATCTGCTATGGCTGATTCAGATTTTGGAGTTATCAGGTAAAGATGTTAAAGAATTCCATTATGTTTTAGAAAATATAAGACAAGTGGGAGAATTTCATAAGAGGACCAAAATCCAAAAAAGGAATAGAAAATTTCAGAACTAAAAAGCACAATAATTAAAATCGAGAACTCAATAGATGAGTTTACCAGTAGATTTTTAAAGTTTTTAACATTTTAATAGGTTTTAATAGCTGAAGAAAAGATTAGCAAATAGGAAGATAAGCCAGAAGAAAAGAATGAGTAGAATCCTGGAGAGATAAAATGATATGCAAAAGCCATAGGAGAAGTGTGAGAAACAGTATAAAGGATTAACATCCATGTATTAATATTATAATACGAGACCCAGAAGCAGAGGGGAATGGGGCAAAAGGTACAGTTGAAAGGATAATGGCCAGGAACATTCCAAGACTGGTAAAAAAATAACAAGCTAAAGATGCAAGAAGCACTACGAATCAGAAGAATAAGTACAGAGAAAACACACGTCTCTGAGTAAACTTTATAAAAATCAATGAAACAGAACCTCAAAAACAGAGAAAAGAAACATTAAGAGCAATACTAAGATTTCAGCTGACTTTTCAGTAGAAAAGACAAAGCCAGAAGACAACAGTATGTTGCCTTCAAAGTGATAAAAGAAATTAACTGCAGATCTAGATATCTGTTTTCCGAGCAAATGTCCTTAAAAAAACAGACACAATATATTTTCAGATGAATAATGACTGAGATAACATTACTAGCAGGCCTTACTTAAAAAGTACTAAAATTCTTCTAAATAATATAATATTTAGTTTTGCTTGTTTTTTAACTTACATAAAATGAAATCAATCTGTATATAGCTTATATATTTTTTGTATGTTTTGCTTCACATATGTTTGTGTAAATCCAGTGAAAATATTCTTCAGGAATAAGGTGAAATAAACACATTCTCAGATGATAGACAACTAAGAGGATTTATCACCAGCAAAACATCTCAAAAAGAAATGCTTAACTCTGAAGGGAAATGATGTCAGAGAGGAACTCAGAACTTCAGACTAAAGAAGAAACAAAAGAAATGTCTGTGGGTCTACATAAAGGAACATTTTTCTCCTTTTTCATTTAAACTGGGTTTCTTTTTTTTATTTTAGCGTATTATGAGGGTACAAGTGTTGAGGTTACATATATTGCCCATGCCCCCCTCCCTCCTCCAGTAAGAGCTTCAAGCGTGTCCATCCCCCAAACGTTGCACATAAACTGGGTTTCTTATAGAGAGTATATAGTTTGGTTTTACATTAAAAAAAAAATCCAACCTGATAATCTATCATTCATATGAAAATATATATAACTGTTGATAGCAAAAATAACATTATGTGGTGGAGACTTCAATATATGTAGATGTAATACATATGGTAACTATAACATAAAGAGGGAGAGTTAGTAAACCATAAAGTTATAAGGTTTTTGCATTTTATTTGAAGTGGTAAATTATTAACTCAAAGAAGGCTGTGAATTATTAGGTATATATATTGTAATCCCTAGAGCAATCACTAAAAAACCCCCAAACAGTGAGAGAGAGAGAGAAAGAGTGAGAGAGAGCGAGCCAAATACACAACAGAAAAATTAAAATAAACTCTTAAAGACATTTCAAATATTGCAAAAGAAGGCAGAAAAGGGGGAAATGAAAAAGGAAAACCAAATATACACACACACAAAAAAAGAGAGGACAACGAATAATAAAATGGTAGATGTGAATCCAACCAAATCAATAATTACATTAAGTTTAAGTGGTATAAACACACCAATTAAATGATAGAGATTATCATATTGAATTAAAATAAAAATACAAAACCCAACTATATGCTGTCTATCAGAAAACTACTTTAAGTATAGAATATAATGCATGAGATATAACATAGAATAGAATAAAAATAAAAGGATGGAAAAAGACATGCCATGGAAACATTAATCAAAAGAAAGCTAGAGTGGCCATATTAAAATATGATAAAATAGACTACCAGAGATAAAGATAAATTACTAATGGCAAAATGGTCAATTCCCAAAGAAGAAACAACAATCTAAATGCATATTCACCTAACAATAGATTTTCAAAATATGTGAAGCAAAAATTGATAAAACTGAATGGAGACATAGAAAAGTTCATAATCATACTTGGAGACTTCAGTGCTTTCCCTCTTGATAATAAATAGAACAAGTAGAACAGAAAATAAGCAAGGATATAAAGGGCTTGAACAACATTATCAATCACTTTGACCTAATTGACATTTATAGAACAGTCTGCACAACTATAGCAGAATATACATGAAACATTCACTAAGATGGACCACATTCTGGGCCATGGAACAAACCTTAGAAAATTTTAAAGAAATGAAACCATACAAACTATGTTCCTCTGGCCATAATGGAATTACTAGAAAATTCCCAAATATTTGGATATTAGACAAAAATTTCTAAATCACACATGAGTTGAAGATAAAGTTACAGGGAAGTTTGAAAATATTTTAATAAAATGGAAATGAAAGCATAACATAGCAAAATCTGTAGGATTAAGCCATGCAGTACTTAAAGGAAAATTGATAGTTTTAAAATGCTTATATTTTTTTCCAAAAAGAAATCTCTCAAATCAATGAGCTAAGCTTTTACTTTTAGAAACTGAAAAAAATGAAACAAAAACAAATTAAATCCCCCAAAAAGCAGAAGAAAATAATAAAGAACATAATCAAAGAAATTGAAATAAAAATAGAGAAAACCAATAAAGCCAAAAGCTGATTTTTTAAAACATTAATAAAATTGATAAACCTCTAGTCAATCTGTCCAAGTAAATAAAATAGAGAGGTTATCAATATCAGGAATGAAAGAAGTGACATTATTACAGATCCTATAGATAGTAAAAGGAAAGAAATATTACAAATAATTTTTGCCCATAAATTAGACGACTTAAATGAAACAATTCTTTGAAAGGCATAGGTACTCAAAGCTTCTTCAAGAAGAAACACATAACCAAAAAAGATCCAATTAAGTTACCTTATTATATGTTTGATTTGTAGTAAGATACTACTCTCTAGGGTAATGTTCAAAGCACTTGTTAGGTACTGATTAAATTCCTCGAAGAACATTTCATTCCCTTCTTCATATTTCCCATAGTTCTTTGAGTACTCCTTTTGAATGCAGTGATTGGTCAAATGGCAGGTTTTGTCTTGGAAATTATCAACATGATATGGTTCTGAAGCAGTCCGAAGCACACCCTCTCTATAGAGGTAGATATTATACTGATGATCCACCAAGACCCAGCTTCTGCAAATCAATAAAAACACTCCTTTACTCAAGTCATCCAAAGTTGCTGCATATTATAGAATATATATATATATATATATATATAATGTAGCCGAGATAGTAGAATATCACTATAAAGAGACAAACAAAACATTTCACCATAAATGACAAGGAGTCTTTAATCCATTCAAAAGACACAGCATTTTGAAGAGATTTAGATGGGTTGGTTTTTACGGTTAACCTGTAAAACCTCCATTTGCCATGGTTGCTCTTTCAGTAATCTTAAGAGGAAGAGTATTCATGCTGAAGCTGATCTGACCTAGGACTGATGTTCAAGAAGCAGCAAGTTATCATGAAGGAATCAAGGAGGCAGAGTCCTCGATGAGGAGATGACAGCAAGGCCAGGGATGAGCTGGGCACAGAGGGTTGTTCCACTTTAGAAAGCAGCACACAACCTCTTTCTCCATGCCAGGTCCTTTTGCTCAGAAACTTGAAATCCAAAAGCCTGAGGTGTGTTCATGAAATTCATAAAAAGTGGGATACAAGTAATGAAATGAGGACAAATTGTTTGGCAGGGTCACACAATCTGTTATGTCTGAAGTATATGCTCTATGTACATCTCTCAACTTATTCCATAAGCAAGCCCCATACCTTTACACCTTTGGATCCATAAGTCATTTTCATAATAGAGAATATTAAAAAAAGAAAAAAAAAGGAAAATCTATAACCTTAGTCCCATTTTCTAGACAGAAAAAAGAAATGTTGAAAGGAAAACAGAGAGTCAGGTACAGAAGCTCAGTTCCAGTCAGTTGTACTCAATTTTGGTAACATCTTAAACACAGTCAAATACTTATTCATATTCTATGTCCCCCTCCTCACCACACATGACTGCATTTTTTCATATGAATAAAAACAAAAGCTATGGACACTGATGCATTACCGAATGTCAAATTTACGATGACCCGGTTCCAGAAGCAGAGGGCGTTCAAGATATTTCTGGATCACGTGCACTTGGCCCTGGTTGTCTATGAAATCGAGAAGCTCTGAGGCCTCTGAGGAGATGAGAATGCCTTCACCTAACAGGGCAAAAGCAAAACAGAAAACCAGTCCAGCTGAAACAAAGAGGAAAAGCTCTCTACAAAGCCAGAAAGGAAATACAGCAAAAAACTCACAGGAGCCTTTTATTGGCCTGCTCACTCTTTTCTTTCTCCCTGCCGCCCTCCTCCAATCTCTCACATTCTCTGCTCTCCCACAAGAGCACCAGGGTTATCCAACTCTTTTCCCAAAGAGGATTGTCAACACTTTATCTTGACAGGCTACAAACATGAAATTTCAGTTTTACAGATATTCCAAGTGTCTAAGCATTCTAAATAAATCCCACCGTACTATTGGTCCCTAGCTACCACAATAAAGACTGTGTACTGCCTTAACTAATAAATCACGTCTAACAGTAAAACTTACAGAAACACCAAGAAGGTCATAAAGACACATGTACAAATATGTTCCCTGCAGCATTATAACAGACATAACTGGATGCATTCAAACTGTCCATTAACATTAAATAAATGACATATATCATTTTTAACAGCATAATTGAGATATAACTTATATACTATAAAATTCACCCTTTTAAAGTGTACAATTCAATGGGTTTTAATAATGCGAGAGTTTTGCAAGTATCACTACAGTCTAATTTTAGAACATTTTCATTGCTAATGGTTACAGGGGTTTTGGGGGAAGCAGTTAGTCCCCATTCTCTCCCCATACTCCAGCCCCTGACAATCCCTAATCTACTCTTTATGGATTTACCTCTTCGGGACATTTCATATAAATGGAATCATATAGTATGTAGCCTTTGACATCTGGCTAATTTCACTTCACACAAAGTTTTCAAGGTTTATCCATGTTGCATCATGTATCAGTACTTCATTCCTTTCTATGGCTGAAGAGTACTCTACTGTGTGGATATACCACATTTTGTTCATTAATTTTTAACTGATGGACATTTGGATTGTTTCCATTATTGTTTGGCTCTTATGAATAATAGTGCTATAAGATTTGATAAAAGTTTTTGTGGATATATATTTTCAGTTCTCTTGAAAATATACCTGGAAGTACAATAGCTAAGTCATATGGTAATTCTACGTTTAACTTTTTGAGGAACTACTAAATCCTATTCCAAGGTGGTTGTACCATTTTACAATCCTAACAGCAATGTTCGAGGGTTCCAATTTCTTCACATCCTCACATTTATCATCAGTCTCCTTAATCACAGCCATCCTAGTGGGTATGAAGTGGTATCTCGTATGATTTCAATTTTCATTTCTCTAATGATTAATAATGTTGATATGCTTATTGTTGATATGTTAATATTTTAATGTGCTTACGGGCTATTTATTAATATTACCTTCTTTGGTTCTTTGGAGAAATGTCTACTCAGACTCCTTGTTTATTTCTTGATTGGATTATTTGTGTTTTTATTATTAAGTTATGAGTTTTTTAATACATTCTTGAGACAGGCCCCTTATCAGATATACGATTTGCAAATATATTCTCCCATTGTGAACAGTCCCATTATTGCATGGCTTCCTCATGTTGCCCTTTAAAGCCACACTCATAGCCCTCCCTATCCTACCCCCATTTGCTGGCAACCACTAATCTGCTTCCTGTTCCTATAATTTTGTCATTTCAGAAATGTTATATAAATAGAATTATACAGTATGTGATCTTTTGGGATTCACTTTTTCCACCCAGCATAATTTCCTGAAGATTCATCTAAGTAAGTTGTTGTATCAATAGTTCACTCCTTTTTATTGCTAAGCATTAATAGTATTCCAGGGTATCAATTCACCACAGTTTGTTTAATCACATACTCTTTGAAGGACATTTGAGTTGTTTTCAGTTTGGGGCTATTGAAAATAAAGCTGCTACATACAGGTTTTTGTGTGGACATAAATTTTCATCTCTCTGGGACAAATGCCCAAGAGTGTGCAATTGCTGCATTGTATGGTAGTTACATGCTTAGTTTTGTAAAACATCGCCAAACTTTTTTTCAGGGTGGCTGTACCATTTTACATTCCCACTAGCAACGTACGAGTGATCCAGTTCCTCCAGATCCTTGCCAGCATTTGCTATTGTCGCCATTTCTTATTTAGCCACTTTAATAAAAGTGCAGTGACAGCTTGTTGTGGTTTCAATTTGCATTTCCCCAATAGTTAGTGATACAGAAAATCTTTTCATTTGCTTATTTTCCATCTGTATAGTCTCTTTAATAAAATGTTTTCATGTCTTTTGCCCATTTTCTTATTTATTTCAGCATATTACGGGGGGTACAAATGTTAAGGTTACATATATTGCCCTTGTCCCCCCTTCTCCCTCATGCCCATTTTTCTAATTGGATTGTAAGTCTGTTGTTATTTACTGTGACATTTTGAAAGCTGTTTATATATTTTAGATCTGAGTCCTTTGTCATATAAATGGTTCAAAAATCTTTTCCCCCACTCTGGAGTGTATCTTTTCATCCTCTTAAAGGGTGTTTCACAAAGCAAAAGTTTTACTTTGATGAGGTTCGATTTATCAATTTTCACTCTTAGGGATTATACCTTTAGTGTTAAGTTTAAGAACTCTTTGCCAAGCTCTATCCCCTATTTTCTTCCAAAAAATGTTATAGTTTTACATTTAAGTCCACAATGCATTTTGAGTTAGTTTTTGTATATAAGGTGTGAGGTTTATTCTGACATTCATTTTTTTTTTTTTTGTCTGTAGATATCCACCTTATTCAGCATTATTTGTGGAAAAGTTTATCCTTCTAGTGAATGGATTTTTGCACTTTGTCAAAAATCAGGCGGGCATATATGTTTGAGTCTATTTCTGAGTTCTCTATTCTGTTCCATTGATTTATGTTTCCATCCCTCCACCAATACTAGCCTGTGTTGAGTACTGTCTAGCAAATGTTGGCAAGGGTCTGGAGGAACTGGATCACTCATACATTGCTAGTGGGAATGTAAAACGGTACAGCCATTCTAGAAAAAAGTTTGGCAATGTTTTATAAAACTAAACATATATAATACTGTATAGTATGCCTTAATGTCAGGTAGAGTGATTAATTCTTTATTCTTCTTTTTCAAGATCGTTTAAGCTATTCTAGGGCCTGTACCTTTTCATATGAATTTTAGAAGCAGCCTTATTTCTATACAAAAACCTTGCTGATATCATGATAGGAATTACATTAAACCTACAGACCAGTCTGGGGCAAAATGACATATTTTCTTTACTATGTTGAGTACTGCAATCTATGAACACAATATACGTCTGTCCTTTTCTTTAGGTCCTCTTTGACTTCTTCCATAATCATTTTGTAATTTTCAGCATACAGAGCCTATATATGGTTTGTTAATTTACTATCTAAGCACTTAATTTTCACTGGGGTGATTGTAAGTGATGCTATGTTTTTTACTTTGGTTTCTGCATGTTCACTGTTGGTACATAAAAATGCAATTGTTTTTGTGTGTGCGTGTGTTGATCTCACATCCTGTAACGCTGCTGAACTTACTTTTTAGTTCTAGGACTTTCTCACCTATGCTTTTAGATTTTTAGATGTATAGCTTCTCTCCACTTAGGTCTCATGCTTTCAGTACAAAGGAATTCAATCCAGTTCATTAATTCAGTGATGCATCTTTCCTAAAAGTCAGCCCCCCTCTCAACTACCCCGTTTCTGTCGCTGGCCCCACCATCTGGTCAGCCTCTCGAACAAGGAACCACACATCTACTTGGAAAAGCTCGCTGCTTCTCTTTCCTTGCACCCATGACTCATTCTGCTTCTCCTCCCTTAGGAACCACACTCAGATGTTCTGGTTCCTCTTTATTTTCCCTTGCCAATTCTTAAGTTCAGACTTGAATCTCCCCTCCCTTATAGCACTTTTCAAACTACTTTTAGAATAATCATCCTAAAACACCACCTCCTGACTAATGTCTTGAAACCGTCTCTATCACCCACTGACGCCTTGCTCTGCACAACCTAAGCCCATTGCCTCCCATGTGCTCCAACCTTATTTTCCTTATGCTATTTCCTTATGTAAACTATTTCTTAGTGAAAATGAATATGCCTAATGTTAACAGGTTGGGAAAATAATGGGAAAATAAGAAGACAGATAGCTACATTTTTATAACTTATAAAAGCTATTGTCATTTTAAAAAACATAGCATTAAAGGGAAATGGAAAAATTACCCATAGACTTATTTCCTGACATTATAATTATCTTTATTTTTTTTTTATATTACCTTTCTTTTATATATAGGGAAAGCCTGAGTCAATCACAGTGAACTCATTTCATACTCCTTTTTGCACTTTATATTGTCAATGTTTTCACTGCTTCTATATTAACTTCACAATTATGTTAGTGGCTGAAAAATATCTCATTGTGTGGATGTAAACCAATTATATATTTGTTTACTGATTACTGGATAATGAGGTTGCTTCTAAACAATATTTTGCTATTGTAGATAGCATAGTAGTAAATGTCTTTGCTATAGATCACTCTTGTTTCTTTTAAAATATTTCTTTGGCGTAAGTTTTCAGGAATGAGATTACTGGATAAAACAATGATATGCATCCTTTATGGCTCTTGCTCTGTGTTATCCTGTTGTTTTTTCAAAGGGCTATAAACTGTCAGTAACAAGGAGAAATCCACAACAAACTTTCAGCAACAGTATCACTAAAAGTTTTTGCTTTCTTATTTTGTAGGTGTAAAATGATACATAACATTCAAATTTATTTTGCAAGTTTTAGATACCGGTGTTGCATGTTTCCATGTGTTTATTATATTACATTTCTTATATTACTGCATTCTTATATTACTTATTTGTTCATATCCTCACTAACTAAATCTGAAGAAATTATGAAGGAACATTTGGGATCTTTAAGGAGCTTCAAGGTCAGTCTTTCTTTACTGTGTTACCATCTCAATTTTTAGGTAATCTGGAAATAGATGCAAAATTAGCCTTCCTTCTGACTAAACTGTGGGTCCATGAAGGCAATAGATAATGTCTGTCTTATTTATTCCTGTATCTCCAAACACTCATTGCTTCATTCATTCATTCCTTCAGTACATATACTGAACTTTTGCTGGGTGCCAGGTGCTGTCCTGGTGGGGGAGACAGTGCTGAGCACAGGTGTGACATGGTCTGACTGCTTTAGCAGACTCTCTGTCTGCTGTATTGTGCATAGATTCTGGAGAATGGCCAAGAATAGGAGGACAGGGAGCAATGCTGTGGGAGGTGAAGGTGGCTCAGATCAGAGATGGGTGGTGAACAGTGCCTTGATACTGGATATAGCTGGAAGGTTGAGCCAATTATAACAAACATGTATAATAGTAAGTAAATATTTATTCAACAAGGATAAAAGCTATTCATCCTATTGGTTGAATAGGACAAGACAAATATACACCACTTATTTCTTCAACTCCTAAAGCAAAAGTTCTTGTATTTTACTTTTTTTTTTGAGACAGAGTCTCACTCTGTCACCCAGGCTAGAGTGCAGTGGCATCATCATAGATCATGGCAACTGCCTAGGATTAAGTGATTCATCCTCCTGCCTCAACCTCCCAAGTAGTTGGTACTACAGGCACATGCCACAACACTCAGTTAATTTTTCTATTTTTTACAGATGGGGTCTTGCTCTGGCTCTGGCCGGTGTCAAACTCTTGGCCTCAAGCAATCCTCCCACCTCGGCCTCCCAGAGTCCTAGGATTATAGGCATGAGCCTGTAATCACCACACCCAGCCCTAAAGCAAAAATTCTTTGTTTAGCATTTATTCTCTTTACCCTCTCTTCCCTGCTGCTTGGTGTCCCTCTAAGTCTTGCCTTGGTGAGGGTCCAGGGGCTACCCACATGTCCTCACAATGGCCTTTCTGACTCTAAGCCCAAATCCACAAGAGGAATCTGGATTACCATGAATGTCTCTTCCAATTCTTCCATTTACCATTAGAACCAAACTAGGGGACAGTACTTGAGAAGAGGTCAAAAGAGGACAGAGAGATGCAGATGAGGTACCTGGCTTGTGGCAAGAGTCCAGCTTTCCCACTTGCAGGAGACTCCAGGTGATGCCCTCCTGTCTCATGGTTGGTGGAAAAGAAGGTGAGGTCCACTGGACCAGGAATAGTACCAATGGCCAGATAGTCTTTCCAGGCAATAAAAGAAGTAAATTCAAAATGGAATGGTTTTTAAAGGAGCACATGATGGTAATCATAGAGAGAGACTGTTTATGTGCTCACTACATTGGGAACTGCCTCTACTTTAAGCCTATGTAATATTATAAACATCACTTCTTCAATGCATTCATTCAACACACATTTATTGTTTGAGGAGGGTCCAAGGATGCACAAGACATAAAGTCTGTGTTTGTGTGGATAGATGGATGGATAAACAAGTAACAGAGTGCTAAAAAGAGGTTGCTTGAAAGAAGAAAAATAAAGCAAGGGAAAGGGAAAGAAAGCAATGGGCAGAGAGGTTACTTTAGCATAGAAAAGACTTCTCTGATGAGGCAACATCTGAGCTACAAGTAACAAAATCATCCATCATTAAGCACATTCCAGGTACAGAGACAAATTTAGAGTATTTGAGGGACACGAGGCAGTCTTTGTGGCTGCAGCACAGTGAAGAAGGCTGAGAATAGAAGAAGATGAGATCAGAGATATGGGCAAATGTCAAATGGTGCAGGCTACCCTGCAGAAGCTGGAGTTTATTCTAATTGCATTAGGAGGCCAGCTGGTAAGTCTTGGGCAAGGAGTAACATGATTAGATTTAGTTTTTTTTAAAACATTGCTCTGTCTGGGAGGAGGAGGAGGACTAGCTGTGGGCAGGCGCTGCAATTTCACAGACTAGAGAGAATGGGGGCTTTGATTGAGAGTGGAAATTTCAAGAAAACGTCTAGTTCAGAATCTGTTTTAAAAATAGAGCTAGCAAGACCTGCTAATGCATTAGGTGGAGACTATAAAGAAAAATGCAGTCAAGGATGCATCCTAGGTTTGGGGGCTTCAAAGCCTGGGAATAGTAGGATCACAAACTAAGTGGGAAGCATGAAAGAGAAGCAGCCAGCACTGGGCAACGTTGGGAAGGAAATGAAGAGTTCTGTATCAAACACGGTCAGTTTAAATGGCTTTTAGAGAAGGGGAGGGTGTCAATAGATCTAGAGCCAAAGGGAAAGACCTAGACAGGAGAGGTATATCAGTATATAGGCGGTTATTTAAAACTATGTAACTAGATGCGGTCTCTACCCTCGATGACTCAGATTTGAATACGGTCATTCATCTAAACTTGTCATTAAAATCTGACATGCCATTGAACAAAGCATGACAGGAACCTACAGGGAATAGAAAAAGGGACAGCAATGCCAACTCACCTTTGGCACCAGCTGATGACTTTGCGATCCAGACGTTGCCCTCTCCATCCTCTTTCTTTCTGTTATAAGAAGCCAGGAAGAATTCTCTTTCATCTGTCCTTGAGTTATTGATCGGTGGCTGGATTCCATTCTGCGCTGGAGCAACTGGAGTCTTGAGATTAGTTGGATAAATCACATAAGACTCAGGAAACCATGTGCAGCACTCAGCCAGTTCTGGGCTTGTCTTGATTAGCCTGGCAGATGACAGAAGAAGGTCAGTGTCCCTTCTTATTGCACTCTGCACTCTCTTCAGAAAGGCCACTGCTTTCCCCAGAGCTTTTCAGAGAGGCAAAGTATGACTCAGTCTCCTTCTAACCCCTCTATTTGCTCTTGGCCACCCTGGACAGACCTCTAATGCACCATCAGGCTGTTAGATGCAACTTTAAGGGCATGTCCCAGTCAATTCAAATGGCTTAATGCTCAGAACTTTAGCTCTTTTTTTAAATGCACCTCTTCGGAAACTTGACATAATCCTGAGCCAACACCTTTTCAACAAGCATGCTGTGGGTGAGCCAGACCTACACTAAAAAATGCAGTGGGGAACGGAGGAAAATTTAACTAGTGAAAATACTATCTTGGCTCAACTCTCTGGGGAAGAAAAAGCTACTTAGGAATCTGAATTATCTAAAGACTTCTTTTTTTAGTCCATTTCTTGCTTTTGGCTCAGCCTAGATTTAGTGACAGAATAAAGAAGGAGCCTTTCTAATGGGACATAATAGGACCCCAGTGATCATTATAAAACATACCTCCTGCTCCCAAAATAACATAACAACACAGAAGATAAAGTCAGGCCCTGGGCGAGGCACTTAACAAATACAAGAGCTTATCAAAGGCTCCCCACTGTACCTAATCAAACCTCTGGAGCCAGTGGTGCTAGAATCACATTTCACAAAATAGGAAATGGGTCATAGAAAAGCAAACTTCCCAAGATCATAAAGGCAGTAAGTATCGTGTTTTCTTGAAAATAAGGCCTACCCATAAAATAAGCCCCAGCAGGATTTCTAAGCATTTGCGCAATATAAGCCCTACCCAGAAAATAAGACCTAGTGATGGGTGTGGCTACGCAGTGTATCTGCACAACCCATGCATTTCATCTTGGAGCAGTAAAGATGAGCAGCCCTTCTCATCTGCCCCATGAGAGCTCTATTGCTCGACATGAGAGATTGGGGCCAATGGTTCTAAAGGAAATAGAGTCACAAGAAATTCAGGATGGAATTCGGGGTTTGGAGAGTTATGATGATGCTCCAGAAAAAAATTACTTAACTATATTTGAATAAATGTAGATTGTTGTACCATACTTAAAAAAAATAACACATCCCCTGAAAATAAGCCCTAGGGTGCCTTCTTGAGGAAAACTAAATATAAGACCCTGTCTTATTTTCGGGGAAACACAGTACCAGCCAGGATACAAGCCCTAAACTCCCAGATCTTTTTTTTTTTTTTTTTTTTTAGACAGAGTCTCACTCTGTTGCCCAGGGTAGAGTGCCATGGCATCAGCCTAGCTCACAGCAACTCAAACTCCCGGGCTCAGGTGATCCTCCCACCTCAGCCTCCTAAGTAGCAGGCCAGTGCCACCACACCTGGCTAATTTTTTCCACTTTTAGTTGTCTGGTTAATTTCTTTCTATTTTTAGTAGAGACAGGGTCTAGCTCTTACTGAGGCTGGTCTTAAACTCCTGAGCTTAAGCAATCCTCCCACCTCGGCCTCCCAGAGTGCTAGGATTACAGGGATGAGCCACCACGCCCGGCCATCCAAACTCCCAAGTCTTAACTCTAAACCTACCCTTACTCCCCAGGAGTCAGAGGCAGGGAGGAACCTACTCAAAGACACGTGCAGGCCTTCCCCAAGCTGTGCTCCGTCTTCTGTCTAGAACAGAACTGTTAATGTTAAGCCTACATTAAGATTCACCTATAAACCCTAGTCACAGAGCAAAGGGCAGAAATAATGAAAAGAAAATTTTAGATTGAGATTACAAATAAAGTAATTTTAAAGTGAAAGGCAAAGAAATTGGAAGTTACTTGAATTCAAAGGAGTAAAAAAGTAAAATAAAAACAAATGAATTTTTAGCCCTTTTAATGTTCAACTCTATGTCTGCATTGTCCCATATGGTAGCCACTAGTCATACATGATTACTGAGCATTTGAAATGTGGCCAGTGTGACTCAGAAACTGGATTTTAAGTTTCATTTACTTTTAATTTAAAAACTGATAACACTGTAAAATATTTTCCCATTAAGCACAACTTATTGATTTGGTAGGATGACATTTTACTTTATTGTTGTATTGCAGTGTGCACATCAGGCCCATGTGTCATTTCTAGTATCACACACAATACATCACTGTTATCTTTGGGGACAATAGTTTGATTCAGTTCAAGTGATTATTTTTCTGTGGGCTGATGAAACATTATGATGTGTTTATTATGCAAAAAGCATGAGTTATAGTGCTACCTATATAAATCACAAATTGGTAACTAAGGTGAAATAGTTATTTTTCTAGTTTAAAAAATGGGCAAATTTTGAAATTCAAAACAAAGGCATATTACTGCTGTGGAATTGACTAGAACTATGATCAGGTCAATAAAGAAAAACAAAACAAAACAAAACAAACTGGAAGAAAATACATCATAAATTCACAAAGAATGGCAACTGCAATACACTGCCACAGATAAAATGAAAAAGCAAGTTTATAGTGTAAAGGAGAAATTTTCAGCAAATACAGGATGAATTTGATAAATATTATCCTTTCCTTTCAACAAAGAAGAATTAATGAAATTAGTGGCTGAAATCACAGTTAATTATCTTACAAAAATTTTTTTAATCAAAATTTTAATAGGATCTAAGCTTATAATTTTGGTTAACAATAAAATGGCTTGGATCCTTACACAAAAAGAAAACCATTTTAGATGCAACTGCTGTGAAAGAAACTATCTTAAGAAAAATACTTAAAACAAAATTGTACAAAAAGTTAACAATCTTCCATTAAGGCACAATTGCCCTCAGACTACAAAACCTTTCTTTTTTTTTTTTTTTTTTTTTTTGAGACAGAGTCTCCCTTTGTTGTCCAGGCTAGAGTGAGTGCCGTGGCGTCAGCCTAGCTCACAGCAACCTCAAACTCCTGGGCTCGAGTGATCCTTCTGCCTCAGCCTCCCGAGTAGCTGGGACTACAGGCATGTGCCACCATGCCCGCCTAATTTATTTTTTTTATATATATATATCAGTTGGCCAATTAATTTCTTTCTATTTATAGTAGAGACGGGGTCTCGCTCTTGCTCAGGCTGGTTTTGAACTCCTGACCTTGAGCAATCCGCCCGCCTCGGCCTCCCAAGAGCTAGGATTACAGGCGTGAGCCACAGCGCCCGGCCACTACAAAACCTTTCTAGCTAATAATATCAAAGATTGATTCAAAGTTGGAAACATATTTTAATAAATAAACTCATATGTAAATAAATGTAGCTTTAGATGAGTTGCATGACATAAGAGATGCTGCCCAATACTTTTGGCATGCTATGCCAAAGATACTGTCAAATTGTAGCCCCCAAAATATCAAATTCATGGTGTAGAAATTTTTGAATCTTTTACATCTGTCAAAAAGTTTCACCAACATGTGAAATATTATTTTCTATCATCACAGACAGGACTTCAGCTAAGTTGTATTAAAATATAGACTTACTGGGCTTTTAATAGACTGATGTTTCCTTTGTTACCTCATTCTACTTACTCTATGATACATATTGGAAACATTTGCTTCATTACACTATATGATACATATTTAGAACATTTGCCTTCAGTTTTCTGAAGCAAACTCTGTGAAAGTGTCATGGATACAGTTGTTGAGATGATTCAGTATATATTTGCAAATGTTGCAATGACTTTCCAGTTTATGAAACTATTGAATGAAACAGAAGACAATGAATTTAATGATACTGTATTCTTTATCAATACTCATTGATTGAGAGATGGAAGAGTTTTACAAAGATTTGCTTTGTAACTCCAATTCAGATTTTCTTGAAAAGGAATGTTTGCCAAATCATTATTTTCACCTAATAATTCGTTATTTCATTCAATAATCAAAGATTAAAAATGGCAATCTTATTTACATTCTCTCACCTATATCCATATTGCATGTGAAAAAGTTAAATGTAAAGCTCCAAGGAAGGGAAAGAAGACCTTATTTGTGATCCATACAGACAGGTATGAGAATTTATGTTTCAACTTCATAAATCAAGTCAATAATAATGATTTCACATATTTTTATAACATGACTCAGTAGTATGCAGAAGATTTTAATTGTAATTGACAGCCTTGTGAAAACTGGCTACAAAAACTAAAATAGAATTTGAAGAATACTTTGTTAATATTGGTAAATTTAGTTACTTTTCAATATATTCAATACCCCTATGAATTTGATAATAACACTGAGTTGATACAAGAGTCGGTGAATTTCCTTAACTTGGACAGACATAATACTGAAAACAATATGCTTTTGTTTCAAAGTCAAATCAATTCTCCTAAAAAAAGATGAACCAGTTTTGTCAATGTATGCATAAATATTAAAGATAAATGATTTTTTTTTGTACTTGATTCAGTTACTGAAATACTTTTACATATGTGGGAACAACTTCAACCATAAATTTTTTGAGATCTAAATTCAGAGGAAGAGTTTCTGAAGAAAATTTAATGTCTGAATTAAGATGTTCTACAAATGTAAAATATACATCAGATTTTGAATAGTCAGAATGAAAAAATACATAAAGTATCTTTTTTATATTAATTACATGTCAAATGATATTTTGGATTTATTCAGCTAAATAAAATAGATTATTAATTTAATTGCACCTGTTTTTGTACTTATTTTAAGGTGGCTACTAGGAAGTTTAAAATTACATGTGTGGCGAGCATTCTATTTCTGTTGGACAGTGCTGTAAGATGACCTTAGTTTGGAAGCCCTCATTTCCTCTACAGAACCAAGACCTAGGCTCTGCAGAAATCCTTTGCATTTGTTCCTCATCGGGCCCACTGGGAAGTAATCACGGTGGAGGTTTATTCACATCTATAAGGGAGTAATGCTTACAAGAGGGAAAGAAAGGCTCTGATCTGCACCAGGAGACAAAAAGCACCCCCCAGGGCTCTGAGACCACAGACTTGGGACCTTGATGAGTTTCTGACACTCTCTGCAGTGACAGGAGGAAGGAGTGGGCTGTACAGGGTCCAGTATAGAACCCCACTGAGGCTCTGGGCAGCCTTCTTAGGGCACCCCGTCACACTGCCCATGAGTCCCATCTGTACCAGTTATAACTGTCCTGGCTCAACGTGAATTGCTATGGCTGTCGGTAACCTGACTGTCCTCTCTGAGCTGCCAATTTGTCCTATAAAATGAGGGAGATCTCATTTCTCACTCTCTGGAGTGCTTTCAAGCCATACAAAATCATGGAGAAGAGACAAACTGACAAAGGGAACCATCATCTCCTGGAACTATTACAGATCCTCGAAGGACACCCGAGAGAATGAAGGAAGCTGATGAGGATGACAATAACCTCCAACCTGCATAAGTCATGTCATTTACCAGGTGCCATCACAGGTCACATCGTGTGCCTCCAAAGGGCAAAGAACAGGTATTGTCACCACCATTCATCCCTATTTTACAGATGGGATACTGGGATTCAGAGAGGTGCTGTCCAAGGCCACAGATATCTACCCAGACCTGTCATGACTCCAGCCCTGCACTCACTCTGCCTCACTATAGCTGCTAAATATGCAAATGTGGAGAACAATATTTTTTACAGCATCCTCTGCTTCTGAATTATACAAGCAAACTTCTACCTTTATCTTTAGGGAAAAATTCATAGTAGAAAAGATTGAATAAACATTTTATAAAAACTTCTAAATGAAGAATTTAAATAAGCCATCATGTCTAACTTCTACTCCTGATTCTAGTGAAACAGCTGTTTGCATTCTATCACATAACTATGTAACAAGAAGACTTCAGGAAGCCTCAGTCTCCTTTAGGAGTGGCTGGTGAACCACAAAAACCCATCATGGGGAGGAGTGAATGTGTAAGCTACCAGGGCCAGTGAGTCTGAACAAAATTGGAAATGTTCCTGTGAGCCTTCAACCTAAGTAAACATCTAGAGCCCAGAAAGAAATGCTAGTGGGAAAAAGAGTATTTTGCATCAAGTCAAAAATCCCAGTGCAGGCCAGGCGTGGTGGCTCATGCCTGTAATCCTAGCACTCTGGGAGGCCGAGGTGGGCGGATTGCTCGAGGTCAGGAGTTCGAAACCAGTCTGAGCAAGAGTGAGACCCCGTCTCTACTATAAATCGAAAGAAATTAATTGACCAACTAAAAATATATATACAAAAAATTAGCCGGGCATGGTGGTGCATGCCTGTAGTCCCAGCTATTTGGGAGGCTGAGGCAGGAGGATCGCTTGAGCCCAGGAGTTTGAGGTTGCTGTGAGCTAGGCTGACACCATGGCACTCACTCTAGCAACAAAGTGAGACTCTGTCTCAAAAAAAAAAAAATCCCAGTGCATTCTTAACTAAATGATCTGTTTGGTTACACACACATGTTCACTACTCATTATGAAAAGAATACCAGAGACCTACTACAGCCCTGATTTCAGGGGCCATACCCTGTGTTTCCCTACTGAAATGAAAAAAATAATAGCAATGACAACCACAACAATACTAATAATAAAGTGAAGGAGAGCTTTCAATTATACAGTAGGAACTATGAGACAGGCATTATTCAAAGCCTTTTCATAAATTAATTCAATTAGTCCTCATAACAACACTGAAGTAGTTACTATTATCCCCATTTTACACAGAAGAAAATTAAGGCACAAATACTCCTTATGTACCAGGCCACTGTGCTATATGTACTTTACCTGTACCACTTTATTTAATCCTCATAGCCTTATGAGGGAGGTACTGAGGTTTAGAGAGTTGAGATTTGTAAAGGGAAGAGCTGGGGTTAAAATCCAAGCTTTTGACCCTAGATCTTAATCATTGTATAATATAGTCTCCTTCTACTTTATGATACTATTCTTGTGATACCTGGCCATAATCCAACTGCTCAGAGACCTGCGGTGGCGTGGGCACTGTTATACCCTGCCCAGATATCCTTTCTGAGGTTCCCCTTGCTGCTGTGAGAGATGGCTGCTAAAGGCTGTGCACACTCTTCTCCAGGGTCCAGCCTTTGCCCAGAAATGCCTGAGAAGCTAAGTCCTCTGCTTCTACCCACAGCCAAAGGCTGACTGATACTGGATGGAGCAGAAAAGCATGGTCCCCTTGCCTCAAGACGTGACGACTCTGAGGCGCCATTCACTCCGGTGCTCCATGGAGTCAAGCTGAGGCAAGACTTCAGCTGAAACCACCTCTTTGCATGGCTCTTCCCCTGCCCTGCCCCTCTCTGTTGCCCCTGCTCCGTGGCGGGTTGCTCTGGAGAAATCACTTGTTCTCCCAAGAAATCACTCACACAAGAAACCCTGCGCCAGGCTCTGCCTCCAGGGAGCCCCCCCTAAGAGACAGACAAGCTTTATCGAGCATGAGATAGCAATGACTTGGACTGCAATCCAAATCGCAATCCAATTTTTAACAGGATGTACATAATGAAGCTCAGATCCTGTTAAAAATTGCTTCAATCAAAGCAGCTTAGGGGAAGCTTCAGAACTGGTATTTGTTGGCTTTTTAAATAAAAGTATTTTTGTCCTTTAAACAACCCCACATTTTTGCTTAAATGCTTCATATATATATGTGTGTGTGTGTGTATATATATGAATTGAAAACACAGGTCTTCAAGAACACTTACTTCACTAAGGAAGCTTTGCGGCACAGTTTGTCAGCCCCCCTGTAGTAATTCACCAACTGCGCCAGCCCGGGCTCGTGACCTGTGAAGGAAAGAGGAGGCTCAGAAGGGAAACAGGACAGGTGGGGAACGACAGGGTCAGCACCAGCTCGCAGGAGGGAGAACAGCTGTGCCACACCCAGCTTTTCTTTCTCTCATTTCAGGGCTGGTTGTTAGAAACGAACAATTTCGTTTCTCTGTCCCCAAGGTCCCTCTTCTTCTCTGTACCCTGCTGGTAACTCTCGCCCACTCCTCCATGGATATAATGATAGCAACATCGTAGGTCTGCCAAAGACCACTGCTACCTTTCTTGTTAAGGCAGAGGGCGCTGGGGGTATTTTCTATTTCACCTCTTCCTGGGGCATAGCACATTCCTCTCTTGGCTTAACGCTTATGGACTGGTGATCTCTGCACAGTGCGGCTACTTACTTTCATAGAGTCATGCTTTCCACATCCCCAACCTTGCTTCTACAGCCACCAAGGAAGGCAGCAGAACTATGATGCTGCTGGTCTCGAGCACATCTACCTCTGCAAGCTTCTAGGAGAGCCACTAGGAGGTGAAGGAAGCTAGTGGAGAGGCCATGTCTACAAAACCAGAAGCTCTGAGAACTTTCTTCTGTGCATCATCCCACACGGAAACTCACTCTCAACAGTTCTTATTACATGTCCTCTTCTTTATAAAGTGAGAGTACAAAGGATACAATGAAAAACAAATTTTTATTTAAGATAAAAAAATGTTTTGTTTAAAATGCTAATGAAATGCATTGCATTTCCAGTAACAAAAATCAAAGTAAAACCAAACAGAGAGATTTTGAGATGAAGATTCCAGAGATAAGAATAATTCATCTGAGAATGGCATACAGCCAAATCAAAAGTTTCAGGTAGGCATTAACCGGCCCTTACTATCTTCCCAGGGCAGACAGACCTGATTCACACTTTCTCATTCCCTGGGCACCAGCATTGCTGAGCTTTGAAATGGCTCTATAAGCCTTCTCCTTGGGTTTCCCCACAATGCACTTTAAGTAAACAGTAAATATCCCTAACAGTGATGGCATATAACCATTTTTCATTGTGGGATGCTGTTTTCTTTTATAAAACCCAGTTGTTCACTGATCATCTGCTGAATTTGTGGTTCCTATTTAGGATTCAGACCCTGTAGGTTTCTGCTTCTCATCCCTAGGCTTGAACACCACAGCAATGCCAATCACTCCTGCCTCTGCCCTGGGCATAGGCAATTTTTTGGTTTTGTTTTGTTTTGTTTTGCTTTTGAGACAGGGTCTCATTTTGCAGCCAGGGCTAAAGTACAGTGGCATCAGCATAGTTCACTGCAACCTCAAACTTCTGGGCTCAAGTGATTCTCTTGCTTCAGCCTCCCAAATAGCTGGAACTACAGGCAGATGACACCATACCCAGCTAATTTTTCTAGATTTTGCAGAGACAGGGTCTCACTCCTGCTCAGGCTGGTCTCCAACTCCTGGCCTCAAGCGATCCTCCTGTCTTAGCCTCTTAGAGTTCTAGAATTACAGGTGTGAGCCACCATGCCCATCCTTTTTCTGTTTTTCATTTTAGGGTTCCACCTAAGCTTTTACAGGCAGGCACTGCCAAGTCCAAACTGGAAATTAAGTCAGTAATGGAAGAGGACAATGAAAGGAAGAAATAGCTGTTGTCAACTATAAGCAGTTTTTCCTCTTTCTTTCAGGGGGGTATTCTCTTTGCTGAGGGCTTCCTGAAACAGTTTAACAAAAGGGAATCTCCAGGCACATTTCCTGCATTCTGAGATTTCTGGGGGTTCAAATCAGCCCTTCTATGGAGGCACCATTCTACATCATCAACTTGTATAACAGTGAAAATTTGTTCCAGGTATATTCCAAAGGGAAAATCTCTGTAAGTTTATACCACAACATCCTTCATTACTCAAACTGTTATGGTTTTACACAGCTACAAGTGTAAAATGCTCTGTGTAAGCTCACCAATGGCTAGTCAACTCCAAATGGCCTGTTTTCAGTCTTTGCCCATTCGACCTCTGACCACACCTATTACTAAAAACTGTTTCCTCTCCTGGACATAGAACATTGCTCTCCTTGAGTTCCCCTCCGAGGTAGAGATGACTCTTTCTCCAGTACCAGTTCTCCTCTTTTGTCCTTGGAAAACAACTGGCCCCCACCCCTGATGAATTTTGGCAAGGAACATGGCTACTCAGATAGAGGCTGGAGGTCCCAGACCACTGTGCAGGGGGGGGGGGGCATCAGACTATGCTCAGGTCAACGGCATGTGAGTTGAACCAATCTGGACAACTCCTGGATTACATCATTTACAAAGGAGGGCTGGTCCTCTCTTTTCTCCTGCCTTTCCTACCAGAGGTTATGTGGATACGGTGGTGCTTAGCCAGCTTCAACCGTATGAAGGAAGGCAACTTCCCCAGGGCGAGTAGAGCAGAGACGCAGGCAAACCCAGCCTCATGTAAAACCTTTCTTCAATGTACAATTGTGAAAACACATTCTTTGGTGAAACTAAGGAAAGGTCTAAAATCAGACACCCTCCACCCTTCCCTGGGCTAAGATCCCTTCTGAAGCTGCTGTTTTGGGAATCCAGGGGTCTTTCCCAAATTCTCTGGCCGTTCACCTGAGCCTTCCGGTGGCAGAATCCTGAGGAGTCTCAACACCTACACTCCCGCACCCGCGCCAGGGCGGGAGGAATCCCCAATGCAGAAAAGCTGCACGGTGACTCCAGCCGGATGCCAGCCACCGGCTCTGCGGAGCCGCGCTCCGCTCTGCTCAGTCCCGCCCACCTGCCAGACTTGGGGGACGGTCGGGTCGGGGGAACTAGGATACGCGCGGCCTCAAGTCCCAGCCTCAGCGGCTGATGTGCCGATGTCCCCCCGGCTGCAGGGACCGGTCATTGTCAGGAGACAGCTGCGTCCCCGGGTGGCCGCACTGCGACTCCCGCTCCGAATCCGGAGACGAGAAGGCATTAACAACGACAGGTTTAGATCTTTCTGGATCTGTGTCTAATCTCCCTGAGAAACGAACGAGGGGAAGATTTATGACCTTAAAAACAAAGCGCTCGTTCCACCGGGCCGTGGGAGGAGCGGAGGGCCGCTCGGGGGCGGGGAGGCGGGAAATGGGGAAGGGCTCACCCAGTCTCCCGAAGGGCAGCCGGTTCCTCTCTCCCAGCATCAGGTTAAACCTGGGATTGTCTCGCCTCAGCCTCTTCCAGTGGCCGGTGGCGAGAAGCAGCCGGGAGACCTCGGCGTAGACACTGCTGTTCTCGTCGCGCACCACGAAGGTGTACATGGCGAAGGGCCGCGCGCCCGGGCCGCCCAGGCAGCCGCTGCAGGGACCAGCGGGCCGAGGCGCCTGCTCAGCCTGGACCCCGCCCGGGCGCCCGCGCTGCGCTCCGGCCCGCCCCGCGCCGGCTGGCCGCGCCTTCGGTCCCGGCGGCGCCGCGCTGGCGCCCGCGGTCCGCCCGAGTGGAGAGCGCGGCCCGGACGCCGCCCTCCCGCCGGCCCCGCCCCCGGCCCGTGATTCCGCGCGGCCCGGCCCCCCCTCGCCCGCAGAGGGCCTGTGGGCCCGGCGCGCCCCCTCCGCTCCCTGGGCCGGCTGCGGCCGCGGAGGGTTGGGGGCCGCGAGGCTGGGCGCGGCTTGCCGCCGCCCTGGGAATGCGCGGTGGAGAGCCGCAGCCCGGGCAGGTCCTCCGGAGCCCAGGGTCACAGCCCGGGGGTGGTGCGGGTGGGAGATCCTTTTTACAGGGCTTGCTCTGGGTCTTCCTTGTTACCAAAGCACGTTTTATGGATAGAAACAAAAAGTTCTAAAGCCCAATCCTGTGTCCAAGGGAATATGTGCTTCCCTTCTTCTTTGCTTAACGACAACTGAGAACTCGGAGCAGCTGTTGGTTTTGTTTAGGTCGAGTGCTCCCTTCGTCTGCTGAGACCTCCTGGGTGGCACACGTCTGGGTTTTGGGGGGTTGACTTTAGACTCCGTTGGTGGAAACAGTCCACAGAGGCCCCGGAGAGCCCTGGACTCTGCTCCCAGTCTTGCCATTTACTAGCGTTACTCGCTTTCCCTTCTCCCGACCTTGATTTCCCCTTCTGAGTGGCGGGGAGAGTTTCTTTAAAGTCTCTTAGATTCTGACAGCCCACTCTAACTTCCTTTTAGAAAACCATTTTTAGTGCATTCGAAGGACAGAAAGAGGACAACGACTATCAGATTCCCGCAAACTTCCTACATTCCCTCAAAGTATCCACATCAGCCATGTGCTTTTAGTGAAAGAACACTCTGGGACTTCTCCCCATCCTGTTCCTCCTGTGTCCATGGTATCTACGGATCATACTGTAGAAGCGCCCTCCTCCCTCCGGTCTTTGCCCAGATTGCGTGTGGCAGGCAGGCACTGGCGGATTTGCGCACCGCCTCCATCTGTAGGCATTCGCTGGCTGTGGGGAGCTTGCTCAGAGCAAAACTGGAGCAGGCCCAGAAGTGCAAGGTGCTTACATTCCCTCCCAAGTGCTCTCCATCCTTGACTGATAAGAGTTGGCCTCTAACGCCCTGGCCCCCTCAACCCTCAGGTGAATCTGCAGGAAGGCGTGTATCCCAGGCGGTACTTCAGCGGTTCTCCGTAGGATAATGGAGCTGCAGTTGTCCCCAACTGTAGCTTGCTCTTCAGTGCACCTCTGTGGGCTTCCTTCCGTTTCCTGACTCACTATGCCACTACTGTACTAATGTTTCTTGGGGTCACCTCCCAAATAAATTACCGTATTTGCTTTTTGCCATCAAGTCCTTGTCCCAGGGCCACCTTTGGGAAACTCCTGCCCAGACACTGCTGCCCTTCATAGCCGATCATCTCGGAAGTGGCATCTGCTCCAACGGGCCCCATTCATTCCTCTCCACCCACTCCTCCTGCGCCGCAGTTGGTTTCTCTCTGACACTCCACAGCCATGGCTCTCCTTAGGAACACCGGTGGCCTCTGAATTTCCAGATCCAGGGGTTACCTTTTTCCGTTTTCTCACTTTTTGTAATGAGCACCATTTTTGTTTGTTTTAGTTTTTGTATAGCAGTGGTCTCCAACCTTTTTGGCACCTGGGATGGGTTTCACCTAAGCCAATTTTTTCACAGATGGGGCAGTGGAGGGAGGGGGATGGTTTCAGGATGATTCAAGTGCATTACATTTATTGTGCACTTTATTTCTATTATTATTACATTGTAATATATAATGAAATGATTATACAACTCACCATAATGCAGACTCTAACGGCACCGCTGATCTGACAGGAGGGGAGCGCCGGTCCCTGTGATCATGGGGAGAGGCTGTAAATACAGATGCAGCTTCGCTAGCTAGCTAGGATGGCCAGACCCAACAGGGGGAGCCGATCTTGTTGGTGTCACCTTTGGGATAGTAGCTGTCACGATGGGGCAGGTGAGAAGGGCTGCTGGTTTTCTTTACCACTCTGCGAGGAAATGCATGGGTTGTGCAGATAGCCACGCCCATCACTAGGTCTCATTTTCGGGGTAGGGCTTATACTGCGCAAATGCTTAGAAATCCTGCTAGGGCTTATTTTATGGGTAGGTCTTACTTTCACGGAAACACGGTGGTAAAGCCTACAGAATCTCTAAATAATTTGCATGAATAACTAAATATAGCAAAGTCACTAGATACAAGGTAAATATACAGATATAAATTTTATTTCTATATGTCAACAACCAAGGAACAGAAAATGAAATTTTAAAAGATATGGGCCAGGCACGGTGGCTCATGCCTGTAATCTGGGAGACTGAGGCTGGCGGATTGCTTGAGGTCAGGAGTTCAAAACCAGTCTGAGCGAGACCCCGTCTCTACTATAAATAGAAAGAAATTAATTGGCCAACTAATATATATATAGAAAAAATTAGCCGGGCATAGTGGTACATGCCTGTAGTCCTAGCTACTTGGGAGGCTGAGGCAGCAGGATTACTTGAGCCCAGGAGTTTGAGGTTGCTGTGAGCTAGGCTGATGCCAGGGCACTCACTCTAGCCTGGGCAACAAAGCGAGACTCTGTCTCAAAAAAAATATATTTTTTAAAGATATAATTTATAATAGCATCAATATGTGTCAAATAGTTATTTAATAGGACTCTCTAATGAAAGCTGTGCAAGATCTCTATGCTGAAAACTACAAGATGTAATTGAGAGAAATTTTAAATGCAAAAAATAAATGAAAGAATATACCATGTTCATGATCCAAAGACTCAAAATCATTAAGGTGTCAAATTGATCTATAGGTTCAATACAATCCCAGAAAAAATCCCTACAGAGCATTTATGGAAATTGACAAGGCAATTATAAAATGTATAAGAAATGCAAAGGACCAAGCATAGCAAAGGTGATCTTGAAGAAAAAAAATGGAGGACTATCAGATATCAAGACCTATCCAGAAAAGTTACAGTATTTAGGTACAAAGCTATAGTAATTAAGGAAGTGTGGTTTTGGCATAAGAGGAGACAAATTAACCAATGTAACAAATAGACCAATGTAACCCACACATATATGGTCACTTGGTTTATAACAAAGGTGACCTTGCAGATCAATGAAGGCAAGAAAGGACTTTCTAATAAATGGGGCTGGGTCAATGGATATCTAAATGGACAATAAAGTTAATCTTGACCCCCCCAATCTTGACCATTTGTATATATGCTATATACAAAAAATAGTTGTAGATACATTATGATCTAATACATCTAAATTTGAAAGGTAAAATAATAAAGTTTTAGAGGAAAACAGGAAATAATCTTTATGATCTTGTACTAGGTAAAGATTTCTTATAGAGGACACAAAAATCTCTATGAATAAAGGAAAAAAAGTGCCTGAATTGGCAACCTTAAAATTAATCTTTCCAAAGCACAGCATTCATCCCATCGTTCCATACACCAAACACTGCAAAAGCTCATTGAAGCCAGAGTTCTGTTTCAAATTTATGGCCTTTCATTAAGCCTTTCCATTGTATCTTTCCTGTTGCATTTACCACATTCCCTCAGCCAAAGTCTCTGAAGTGCCCTGATCATCACCAAGATCAAATTACCGCATGTCAGATGGAGTTTTAATGTTGAGTGTGCATTAACCCCTTCCAAAATTGATGAACCATGTACTAGATGGACTGTTAAATCTCTATTCATCAAAACCTTTGATTAGAGGGCATTTTCTATGTCATAATCACGCTGAATAAAGTGAGATTTACTCTTCCCTCAGCCTGACACTTGCTCTTAAGCACTTTGGAGACAGGACTGCCTCACCCTTCAGTGGAACCTTTTGAACCCCACCTCGAGGAAGAGGTGGGGTTCACTCACACTCTTCTATCCCCAGAGAACCTGTATGTGCTAACTTCATGGTGCTAGGTTTGGTTCACATTGTTACCTTACTTACTCATAAGGTCAAGGACCACATTGTTTCAGCTCTACCTTTTAGCATCTCGCATAGAGCCTATGCCATGGAAGTTACTTAATAAAGATCTTGTAAAGGAGAGAAAGAAAAAGTCCCGATTATAAACAAGATGAATTATAAGATGAATTTTTACAATTAGGAAGTTAAACAAGGAAAGGACAAGCTCTCACAAAAGGAAGAGTTTAATTAAAAATTTAATTATCTTTCTAGGTTAGGCGCAGTGGCTCATGCCTGTAATCCCAGCACCTCGGCAGGCCGAGGCAGGAGGATTGCTTGAGACCAGCCTGGGCAACATAGCAAGACCCCAGCTCTAAAATAATAATAATAATAATAAATTAGCTGGGGATGGTGGTGAGAGACTGTAGTCCTAGCTACTCCAGAGGCTGAGACAGGAGGATTGCTTGAGTTCAGGCATTTGCAATTGCAGTGGGCTATGATTGCACCACTGCACTCTAGCCTGGGTGATAGAGCAAGACTCTGTCTCTAAAAAAAAAAAAATGCTGTTTCCATTTTTCTTTGACAGGTTGATTTCAGCAAACTCCCCTTGTATAACACATTGTATAAACATTTACAGACAATGGTTGTCTTTTTAATATGAGCGCTCCTTGTCCAGTTTGTATATCCCAGCACTGCCTATTTTTCCACAAGGGTAGACTTGGATGAAGTATTCAGGAAGAGACAGAGTCAGGTTATCAATGGTGTGTGGGATAAGTACAAGGGATATGGACATCCCAGAAGAAGAATGGGGGAGCCCCTCACCCCTCCATAAATACCCCACTTGCACCTCTCCCAAGTTCTTAGCTCCTCTGGGTGCAGTAGACTGAGTTCAAGCAACTTATCCCTTTCTTTGTTCTCCTAACATTTAAAATTCCCCAGAGAGGCTGGGCCCTGAAGCCCAGTGTTCCAGCCATAGAGAGGGGCTTTGAGTTCCAGAACCAGTCCCTGGTTTTTAGGATGGTGTCATTAGAAATCATGAAGCCTGAGGTTTTCATGGGGATGATGGAGCTTGGAGTCACTTTGGAAAGTGACTGTGCCTGGGCTTGGGACTCTGCACAGGCTGTGCAACA